CTTGAGGAAATTTTACTAGAGACCAGGGTGTCTGAGTATGTTACAGTCTAAAATGAATGATATTCATATTTCATTCCTGCATTTGATACTCTGAGCTCTTACACTAGCATGTACAGGAGTTATTGCAGTGAGCAAGGAAAACCATGGAATTTATTAAGTTGAATTAAATGAAAGTAGAGTTGCCAATGTTCAACTTTTATGGAACTACAAGAATGACACTTTTTTTGTGCATCATTGTAAATGCCTTCTGGCAAGAGACAAAAAAATCTGTATTGCCCAATTAATGACTTGATTACAATTGTGCAAAGAGCTATGAAGAAGAAATCAGGGCTGATGCAGCCTCATAAATGCACATTCATGTCTGCATTGGTAGCCAAGAAAGACTTCCTTATGTGAGTTACTTTTGAGGACATGCAAATGAAGAAGAATTAACTTAGTGATGGAGGGAGGGAGAGAGAGCATTCCTGGCCAAGTGAGCTACAAAGGCTGGAAGGGTAAGAATCAGGCACGTTCCTGGGCTGAGCAGGTGACTGAGCCAGAAGAGAGGCAGGGATGATAGAGGATGCAGCTGGAGGCAAGCAGGACCCGCATCAGGCAGAGCCTTGTGGTCACATTAACATTTTAAACCATCAGGTTTAAAGACAATGATGTATTACTTATATTCTACAGGATTATAAAGAATGTTATCTCCCCTGCTATAGACAGCTATCCTGCTAGAATAGTGTTGCCACAGGATTGGAACCTAGGTTCTTCCAACAAGACAAACGCTGCCAGAGGAGGCCCAGTGGCAGGCAGCCCTGGGCCCAGCGTCAAGTCACAGGTTGAAGGCACCATGATCGAGCCAGCCAGGTCACTCAGGGACTACAGCCTCCAAAACCCAGGTCCTCAAAACTGTTATTCACCCCTGACCATGAACTGGATAAGAGAAAGAGTGGTCACTGCGGAGGCCTGGCAACCAAAAGAAGACCCCATTCCAGCCTCTTCCCATCATGGTCCCTTCTCCTTTAGCCCTTGCTGGGAGGGAATACTAGAGGCAAGGAAATCCATGAGACAAAGGATGAGACCCAAACTCAGCCAAAGAGAAGGGAGATGGATTCCAGAGTTTTTGGTGAAAAGCTGTGAGAAATGAGGAAAAAGCAATTCCAGACAGTTTAAAATTTTCCAGCCTTGGCAACTAGGAAGGTATACATGCCACCTTATTGATGAAGTGTGGTCAAAGATGTGGACCACAGACATGCAAAGTAAACCCACACAGAGCTGAACCAATAAGGAGTTCCAGAGAAACCACGCTGGAATATCAAGAGAGCTCTTCCCAGAAAAAAACACCCGACCCCTCCCTGCGCCACCCTTATCAGTGGTGGAGGGAGTGAGGCACTGAGGCACGAACAGTCTTGTGATGCAGGCACCAAAGACAGACTCATGCATAGTGACCTCCGACTTGCCTTGGTGAAGGTTTCTACCCCAAGATTTACCTGCCACACCCTTGGCAGAGCTGAAAGGGTTTCACAGCTCTCCAGCCTTCCAGGTTGTTTCCTCCTACTTCACCTTTTGACCACAACGAAATCCTCATCAGACTCAACATTTTGGACAGCAAAGCAGAAAGAATGCAGGCCCAGGAATCTGGCAGCTTCTGGATACATAGTTACTTGCCATGTAACCTTGGGGGGTAAGTTACTCAGCCTCCCTGAGGCTGATTTCACTACTATAAAATGGAGACTAAAATACCTACCTCACAGGGTTGTTTGGAGGATTTTGCCACAACATAAGTAAAACTCTGAGCCCTGTGGGTGCCACTGGGGAGATATTTCATAACCCTTAACTCCCTTCCTTTCAGGCCTACAGATAAATGTGCACACCCACACAGGCACATATACAGTGTTAAAAGACACCCCAAGCATGCAAAACACCACCAAAACATGTGGGCATATCCTACCCTCTCCCTAGGGGGGATAAGTGCATAAATCAAGGTCTTGTTACTATTTTTGATACTTAAACTCTAGGATGTTCTAAAACTCAGTCCCTGGAATACCAATATCTGGACTTCTGCCATTAAGCCTCTCAGGCTCTTCTGCAGGATCAAGTGAGTGCTGTTTCCCAATCCTCCCTCAGTTCTGTCCACCTGGGCTCTAACTCTCAACAATCCCATCCAGAACCTCCTTCCATCATCCCATAAGATTATTCAGTTTACCTCTTGTTTTAGGTGCTAGAGCTCTCTGGGATCCTGGGATCCTAGCTTTAAGGTATTGAGACAGGACAAAATCCCCTCCCAGCCACATATCTCAGCAGCTCCAAGTAAAACCCCCCAGGACATGACAGCTGGAGGTGGCAGCTGTGCGCTGGGTTTGTAGGAGTGAAGCTAGGTCCCCAAGGAAAGTCATATAGGGCAGGAAGGCCTTCCGCATAGAAAGGAAGATAGATATTTTAAAGACCAAGCAGCTGAATGTCATTGTACTGAGCTGGCCTAGACTTAGGCTGTGGATTGGGAGGATGTATTTTCTGAGGTCTGGCTACTCCTTGGCCAACCAAGGAGGTACTGCTGAGGCTCAAGACACTCCTACTGCAGTCAATTCCAACCATTCCTCGACTTCAGGTGGCCAGCTCATTCCTCCAGCACCTTGCCAGTCCCACAGCTACTGGGCCAGCTCTACAGCCAAGCTAGGGGAACTGGTCACTGCAAATCTGCCCACATGCCACGCCTCGGTAAACAGATGCCCTCAATCTCATGCTGACTGTGAGAGCTTTTACTCAAAGTCCTGGCTGGAGACAGGCTGGCTGTGGCACCCTGAAAGGTGCCACATGATCTCAGGGCTTTCCTATTCTATCTTCAAATTTTCATGAGGAGGGGCAATCCTGGAAAGCAGGGAAGTCTTAATCACAGTGAACGTGTCACCCCAGGTGTCATGCTTGCCTGTTTTCAGCTTTGGCAGTTGGTACAGAGTAGGTTCCGGACTCAATCAGGCCTTACTTTCAGACTCAATTTTGACACACAGGTGTCAAAGCTTTCCACATCCATATTCTCATAGGTAGAACAAATCAATACTTAATAATAGCCTTTACTGAGCCCCCGCTATGTTCTAGGCTATGAAATATCTACTGTTATGATTCATATCTTTAAAAAGAAAGTTATGGAGTGCCAGCTTAATAGTACACAACTGTAATCTCAGCTACTCAGAAGGCTGAGGCAGGAGGATCACAAATTCAAGGCCAGTCTGAGAAATATAGTGAGACCTTGTTTCAAAAAATAAAAGGGCTGATGATGTAGCTCAATGGTAGAGTACTTGAGTAGCGTGTACAAGGCCCTGGGTTTTAATCTCCAGCATGGGGAGGTAGAGAGAGCTAGAAAGTGGCAGATAATCTTTCTGCCAACTCCTGCCTGCCTCACTAGTGATTGGTTTGGGAATGGAAATGTGACAATTCTAGCCAGTGAGATATGAAGGGAAATCTAGGGTCTTCTAAGACAACTGTCTTATCTTTTCATCTTTGAATGTTGCCTGTAAATATGCTGTCTGGAGCTGCTGCAGCTATTTTGCAACTCTAAAAGTAGTAGCCAATGAACTGAAAGCAACAGAACAGAAAGCCAAAAGGTTGGTCCTTAATGTTTTTATTAATTAGCCCAATGAGCCAACACTGAAACTGAAGCTATCTCTAAACTTGTGTGAAAGAAGAGTCCCCTTATTGTTTTGACTATGCCTTGAGCCTTGACATACTATTGTTCCATCCAAGGCAACAGCCAACTAAGTGTCAATTTGCCTGAGGTTGGTGGTCAGGGGCAGAGCACAAATTGCCACTATACTGTATAGTGAATGTGAAGTTGAATAATACACATAGATGCCTTTTTTTTTTTTTTTTTTTTTTTTTTTTTGTCTTTTTCCTTTTTTATGCCTTTTACTTTTGTGGACTCCTCAAAGCTGTCCCTACCCTGAAGGATGTACAGGTTAGTGGCTAAACACTCACAGAAATAAATGAACCCTTTTCCTTCATTCTTTTCCCTTGCAGGAAGCACACTGCTTCCCAAAAGGACTAGGTAAAGATGGCTGATGACAAGGCAATGGATGCCTGTTATGGTTTGTATCTGGATGTGTTTCCAAGTCTCATGTGGTCATGGGTAGCTGGCTTTCTGGAGATGACTGAATCTAAAATTTGAGATTGATTCATGGTCTAATGCTGGGATTAAAGATGTGAGTGCTACACAGAAAGAGGCCTACTCTCCCTTCCTCTAGTTATTGCTTTTATTGTCCTCCACTGCCATGATCTGTTGCCCACCCTACCTTGGAGCCAGCCGATTATGGACTGAAACCGCTACAAACTGTGAGCTAAATAAACCTTTTCCCCTCTAACTTTGGTTGTTTGGTCTCAGCATCAAGAGTAACGTAACTAAGACAGTGCCCTAACATGCTGCTTGCTTTCCTCTGAGAACTGCTACACAAACCCTTCTGATCCCCAAAGGGCTCTGCAAGGCCTCCCAGGCCTTTGGCACTGCTGTACCACTCAACATTCCAAGGAGCCGGCTGTCCCCCACATCCATGTAGTCAAGGAGCCCTGGACTGAGTGCCACAACTCACCACCACAGCTGGTGATTTCAGGTCCTGTAAAATGACTCAATGCCCATCTTTGTTTATTCAGTAAATTTAAACTATGAGAAATAAAAAGAAATGGAAGACATCCCTCGTATGGCTCAGAAGGGCATAGGCAGAAGCAGGTATTTAAACCCTGCCTTCAAATTTTTGAATATGTATTAATAACATTAAAATGTGAATGCCTTTTGAACCAGCATCTTCACTTCTAGAGAATGAAAATACAGTAAATATGCAAAGGTGATTTGTTGTGAAGTTTACAATTACAGAAAACTGAGGACAACCCAAATATTCCTTATAGGGGATAAATACAATATATACCTTTGTGGTAGAACACTATATAGCCATTAACATCAGTGAGGTAAAACAACAGTGGCAGAATGTCACGCTTAAAAAGTAGTTAATAAAATAGACTATATTGTCTCATTTTCATTTAAAAATATGTATTTGTAAAAAGCCATAGGAAAGGTTGAGAGGTACAGTTACACCAAGGCATGAAAAGTGGTTATTTTGGGGTATTTGAATTTTGGGTGACTCAGATTTTTTCTAATTATTATCTATTTTCATGACATAAAGGTTATTAATGTGTATAATGTGAACCCCCCAAAACACAGCAGCATGGTTACAGACAGAAATCAGGGCCAGGTAGACCATATGTTTCTTTCAACACTGGATGGCCAGGGACAAACTGGTAATAAGATGGTAGGCTCTGTATGTTCCAGCATGTTCCTGGTATTATTACAGCTGGCAGGAAGAGACTCTCTGTTCCCAGGGTTTCTTAAACACACTTGGAATCTTCTTCCTACGGTATTTGTTCACCTTTTTAGTTTGGGCTAAGACCTGGCAGATATCCAGCAGCCTCAGAAGTCCCAGGCAGATGATGGCTGGAGTGCAGGTGCTCAGAGACTCTTTCAGAGATGCCAAAGTGAAGATAGCTCCTGAAATGGAAAGCAAGGCCCCTGAGTCTCCCCAGGATCATCGAGGAGATCTAGGGGCTCAGGAGTTCCAGTCTAAGCTGACCCACTCAAGCCCAAACCTCTAGTGATACACGGAACTACCTACCCCATCCCAAACCAGCTATACTCATCTCTGACCTCACAGAGAAAGCAGGACCAAGAATTAGAAGCCTCTCTGAACTAAAATAGACCCTCTCACAGGGCAAGAAAGAGAAACGATTCAGCCAAACTAGGGACTAAGTGGGAGAATGAGGATTTGGGAAGAAGTTCTGATTCTTTTCCTGCCTTAATTCTGTATCTACTGGAAGGAAGGAGGCCCAAGGATTGGTGACGGAAGTGTGGCAAAGATCTGAAAAGGAAGAAAGTTTGAGAAATGGAAAAGAATGCTTGGGGAGGGCAGGGGTGCAGGATGGTGGTAGTGGCAATGCCGACACTGGCTGGTAGATGTAGAAGAGCCTGAAGACGCCTGGTCACTGAAGTGTCAGCTGTCTTGTACATTAGCAGCTCCTGTGGGCAGAGCTTTAGGAGGGGCCTCTCTAGGGAAACTCTCTGCATTCTTATTCAAGGAGTCCCACTTGTCTGCTCTCTATTCCCACCTACAAGACACATAAGCCAAGTGGCAGCTGCTGCTCCAACCTGCTATCCCCGGAGTAGCATGTGGAAGGAGCAGGGCTATGAGTTTACAACACATTCTCACATAGAATACTATACAGCCTTACAAATGGTGAGTGAGAAAGCAGTATATGATGACATGGGTCAGTTTTATAGTATGTTAAGTTACAAAAACACCTGTCCTACTCTGAAGAGTAGAAATCGAAGCAAAGCCGAAGTACGTCTGTTCCCAGAGATAAAAGGTGACAGCAGTAAGGTGAAACAGCTAAATCTATCATTTTTTTCCCAAAAGACCCACTTTCCCGGGCCAGCTGGCCCCCTTACCCATCATGAGCAGGGTCAAGAACAAGTTACTGATCTCTTGAAGCATCGGTGAGCCCACAGCCAGCAGCAAACCAGCCAACAGCTCCAGCCAGCCCACAGTTGTTTGGTAGTTCATGGGATCGGGCTGGTAGCCGAACAACTTCAAGGGAAACACTTCGGCAAACTGCAGGAACAGGGCTTTCTAGGGGTGGCAGGGAATACCTGTCAGCCACACTGGCCAAGGATGCACTGCCCAGAGGCCCCACAGGGGCACTGTATACCTGTTCTCTCAACTCTCCCCAGAAAAGCTACTGCTATCCTACATCAGACCCAGGCCTGAGAGAGGAGAGAATGAACATCTATCTTATAGGGATGAGCACTGGAATGAAGAACAAGCCTAGGTACCACTGAGAAAGGCTGGGTGGTGGTGTTGAGACTGCTTGACTTCCTCATCAGACCTATAAACAGATTAAAGAGCCAAATCCCAGTTAGAAGGAATCTCTGAAAGAGTCTCTGAGCACCTGCACTCCAGCCATCGTCTGCCTCGGCCATCCCATCTAATGCCAAAGCCTTAGAAATGTCACAGATCCTTCCTTTGAGCCAGGTTTGTCTTCAGGCTGCTCTGCAGGAAATATATGAAGATGGGACTCAAGAACTCATTAAACAGATTTTTAGTCTCCATTATGGCATCTTACATCTCACTATGGCAGATACAGGGAGTGGGTGAAGGGGCTCAGTGACTTATCTTGCTGTTCAAGTGATTCATTTTGCCTCTGGGTCAAATGACAAATATACCCTAACCCCCAGGGCTACCTGCTCTTCACTTAGTACTATCTCTCCCACCCAAAACTGGAAGAAACTAAACCATCTGGCTCCAGCCATGCACTACTACTCCCAATAACCCATCACCCTAAGCCAGCAAAGATGGACTGGCCAGGCCTAGTAAAGGGAGACCTCTGTTCCCTTCCTGTCCCAGGCCTCCTCTTAGCTGCCCAGAGGGGCCCAACCTATAATCTGAGCACTCTGGGAAGTAGAGGCAAGAGGATGGCAAGTTTGAGCCCAGCCTAGGCAACTTAGTGAGACCTTGTCTAAAAATGAAAATAAGTGTTAGGAATGTAGCTCAGTGTGAAGGGCCTGGATCAGCATTTCAGTACGTTAAGGTTCAGTTTCTCATAAGAACAAAGCAAGGCGGGCTTCTTTAACGGACTGGGGGGATTGGTGGATGGGGCATGAAACCTTACCCCAGTGTGGAACCAAACGCAGAAGGTAGGTAAGGACTTCTAGGCTTCTCTTTCTGGCTTCATGGGGGAAGGACTCTGGAATCTCAGAAGCATCTAGTTTGGGTCCTGCTTCCTGACTAGCTACATAATCTTTAGTAAATGACTGACCCTTTACCCTCTGGGCGAGTTTCCTGTCCTGCAAAATGAAGATTACTAAATCCTGCTTCACAACAATCCAAGCACTCTGAAGCAAACAGGTGGGGAGCACATTAGGCCACTTTCCCACCGTATCTTCCTCCCCCAGGGGCCCGAGCATTCTTCGCAATCTAAATTTGCCTGCCCTCCCCCGCCAGGGCTCAGCCAGAAGACAAAGTCCTGCCCCCTCCCGCCTCCGGAAAACCCCCAAGAACTCGAGGAACTCCCTAGGAAGGCCCGGCGCTGCCCCCTAGCTCCAGTGCAGTCTGGTGGAAGGCAGGCGGCCCGCGGGGACACGCCGCCCCCGTCCCGGGCCCGCTGCCCCGCTCACCATCTGCTCGGACTCCGGAGCCGAGAGCTGGCAGAGCTTGGCTGCCCCGGTGAGCACGAAGAAGCCGCCCAACAGGACGCGCAGCGCGAGAAGCACAAGCGCCATGGCTGCGCCCGCCCTCCCAGCCATCCCGCCGAAAACCCGCCCCGAGGCCGGCGCGTTTCCTGTCCCGAGCGCGCAGCGCGAAACGGTGTGGGCGGGGCACCTCATCGCCCAGATGGGTACACTGAGGCCCACTGGCTTCAATATTCAAACAGCTTTTGGGCAGCTTCTCACGAGTTTGGGAAGACTGTCTCCAAGCAATACCGAGCAGAAGCAAGCACGGATGTTTTGCATGTGCCTCTAAGGGCACGGCCACAGCTCTGCCTGAGCCACAATACCTACAGGATCCAGAGCTGTCACCCAAGCCCAACAGGCAGGCCTCCTGAACTGGTAACAGGTCTACCAGGATTCCCCCTGGTAAGGGCTAAGAAAGTTAGTTGTAAACCATTAAGCTAATTTGTACTTAGATCAATAACCAGTAATTATAAAAATGTCCTTTTCCATCCTTGTCTGAAATATACTTTCCTCCTAATTCCTCTCAGCTGAAACTAAAATGTGAAAGCTGTTTGAATATTAAGATACCAGAAGCCATGGGAAGAGAGGCATTCATCTAATAGCACTGACGTCTAAGGCTAGATGGGCAAACTAACTGTTTTTTTTCCCCTCAAGATGTCTACACTTTTTAACGATGCAAATTCTTTTCATACCAGGTGTGGTGGTGCACACTGGTAATCCCAGCATTGGGAGGCTGAGTCAAGAGGATCACTTGGAGTTCAAGGCCAGCCTGGGCTACAAACTGAGACCAAAGACAGTTTGGATTGCATAGGAAGACACTGTAGCAAAAAGACAAAATTTTTTTCAAACATCTTTCATGACCCATTACATGAGGTTCTTATCTTAAGTGTTCAAAGATTTAAAGTTTTATTGAAAAACAGCCACATTAATCTGTGAATGTTGAACTGCTGAGTAGTAGCCACAGAATTAAGGAGAAAAAAGTTCACTGTGGCTAGTGACAGTTGGTAGCCAAGGGGAAAAACATTCTTTTAGAGGCAAATGACCATTGCACTAATCTCATCTCCACTCTCTGAGGTAAAAATAGGTCTCAGATCTGTGTCAGCATACCCATTCTTTTCAAGGAAAAAATAGGATGGGCACTGAGTTGGTTTTGCCGGAGATGGAAGGTAACTGAAACCCTCATTTAAATGCTGAGACACCCATTAGGGGGTACTCACAAGCTGCTAAGCACAAAATAGGGTTGAATACAAAATCACACGTGGATTCTGCTTCATGTTCATGTGTTTACAACTGTGATTTTTATACTTTACACATGCTAATGCTTTTAAGAAATACATAATCTAACTAAGCATGGTGACACTGTAATCCCAGCATTTAGGAGGCTGAGGCAGGAGGAACTGTTGCAAGTTCAAGACTAGCCTGGGCTACAAAGTGAGCTTAAGGCTAACCTGAAATGCATAGCCAGACATTGCCTCAAAACGACAAAAAAGAAAAAGAAAAAAAGGATGAGTGCAAATCTCAGCCTAACCTGGGCAACTTAGCAAAACTGTCTCAAAAAAAATTTTAAAGGGCTGGAAGAAAGCTCAATGCAAAGGTCTTGGGTTCCATCATAGTTGCAATGAACCCCAACCATAAGTTTTCTCTGTGAAATATTTTCACCATACTTTCTTCCTCTGCTGTTCTATGGAGCAGCCCAGTACTGCATTCATGTAACTTTAATAAACTTTTCCTTTACTAATTGACTGTCTCTAACTTCCATCTTTTGAGTCAAAGAACTCATGGTACCAGTGACAGGATAGCTAAAATGCCTAGAATATCTACTATCTAGCCCTTTATGGTTTTTTTCTTTTCTTTTCTTTTTGAGACAGATTTTCACTATGCAGTTCAGGCTGCCCTTGAAATCCTGGCGGTCCTCCTGCCTCAGCTTCCCCAGTGCTGGGATTACAGACGTCATCATGCTCTTGCCAAGCTCTCATCTAGTGGGCCAGAGAAGCCCCAAATAAGGGTCTCAAACTTTCATGCTGCTTCCAGTTCCAGTTAGCCAAGCTACTCATATCTTTGTTTTCTACAATCTATGTGGATTGGTGGCTGGCTGGCTGAAGACTGAAATTTCTTGTCCCTCTAAATCCAAACTGTTTCAACATCCAGATTGTGCCATTACATTATCAACTGGGCCTTTTATTATCTGCAGTCTTGGTCACTAATCCAAGTTTGTAAGCCCATGTAAGAACTAAATCCTTTACCTTAAAATTATAATTATGTACAAATTATAATTATTAAAATCTTTTTACAAAAAGGGAAAATTTATAAAAGCATTTATTTAATCCACAAACACAAATTCACATTAGGAAATTATATTTTAGGATATTTATACAAATTTTAACACAAACATAGACTCTGATGCCATCAGCAACTGATAATACTATTCTTTCTCCTTTACTAGTTTTTCTTTCTCCTTTACTAGTTTTTCTATCCTTGGAATTAATGATGTGACTGCAAGTCTTAGGGCAGTGCCAGAGACCAAAAAGTTTCGTTGTTTTGACTCTGTCAAAGCTGTAAAGGTAGCATCACATAAATAGACAGTTGAAAAGGGCAGTAAGACTTTCATTGCCTTTTCATGGAGTTCTGGGTAACGTGTCTTTGCATTTATCCAAAACTGAGTTATAGACATTGATTTAAATACTGACTGAAATCCTAAATCTGAAGATAACTGTGCTAGTTTCTCTTCTTCAAAGTCAGTGAGATTATTATTTTGGTGATTCATAAAAGGGTTAATTACCCACATATTTCCTGAACGCAAGTCATCCTCTGGTGGGTAACAGTCATGGAATATCTGAGAAAGTCCTTTCAGGTGCTCAAAAATAATGTTTCTGATGTTTCTCACATTCATATCTGATGAGTTTGAGAATTCAGAAAATAAAGGAAACATGTCATAATCATTCTCTTGTGTGCGCTTCAACCACATTTTTAACTTCTTCTTAAATACATCGATTTTATTATGTAAACTGAAGAAAGTAGTCATAGTTCCTTGGAGACTTGAATTTAATTCATTTATAAGTGAAAATATATCTCCTAAATAGGCTAGCTTTGCAATCCACTCCTCATCATGAAAATACTTGGCCAAATCTGAATGCTTTTGATTTAAAAATATTTCCATTTCATGTCGCAATTCAAATAATCTTGTTAAAATTCTTCCTCGTGCTATCCAACGTACTTCAGCATGAAGAGGTAAATTCACATGCTCAGATCCCATCTCTTCACACAAAATTGTTAGCATTCGTGAATTCAACAAATTGCTCTTTACAAAACTTAAAATTTGTGCTGACTGCAAAAGAATTTCATGTAAGCATGGAGATAACTTTTCAGCAGCTAAATGTTCACGATGAATAAAACAATGTGTAAATGCCACTGAATTCACAGTAACATCTTGAATTTTTGACTTTAAGTCAGAACATCTGTCAGTCATACTAGTAGCCCCATCGGTACAGAGGCCAACACAGTATTTCCAGTTGAGAGATTTACTATCAATATATTTATTTATTAGCTCAAATATTTCAAAACCAGTTATTTGAGAAGGCATGTCAATGCAAAATAATAATTCTTCTTTAATATCATTACAATCATAATCAATGAAACGAATATAGCATAAGAGAAGGGTCACAGCTGAGATTTCTGATGACTCATCTATCTGAAGGGCAAACCACTTGGACTCTCTGACCTTTTGAATCAGCTGATCTTCAATGTCTGCAGACAGTTCATCAATCCTGTATCCAATTGTATTATTGGAAAGAGGAATAGTTTTCATTTTGTCTCCAGCACTTGAACCCAAAACCTCTGAACACATTTCTACTAAATATGGTTTAATTAGTTCTTCTGCAATAAAGAATGGCTTCTTACTGGCAGCGATTTGGAAAGCAATTAAATAAGAAGCTTTCACAAGTGACTTTTCAACTAGTAAACACTTTTTTAAAGAACTATTTTGACATTCCATTTCAAGAGATTTCTGTTCAAAAAAATCTAATGGCTTGTCTTTTAATTCTGAATGTTTTGTCTTCAAATGATGAGAAAGATTTGCTGGCTTCATATTTTCGCTGGGTAAGATCTCCCTACAAATGACACATTGTGGTCTTGGTAAACTCTCTTTTGATCCAGGACAGATAATAAAACCAACTTTTAAACACTCGAGGTCATAAGTCTGGAAAAAACCTATTTTCTTTTTTTTTGCAGGTGGAGAATCATGTTCCTCATCACTTTTTTCATTAAGCACAGGTAAATCTGAAAGAAATATTTGGATTACTGTAAGGTTCAAGAACAAATATGCAATGTTTTTTATGTTTTTCCTCACATATAGATCTGGCTATATCTGTATTTATAAATAGAACACACTAACTGAAAACAAACCATACTCCTCCATGATGCCACTGAAAACTGAATTTCTCCTTTGCTAAAAGGTTAGTCACTGACTATAATAAAACTGGAGGCTATGGATCAGGTACAAGTAATCCCAAGTATCCAACAGATTTCTGAAATTAGTCTGAAGTAAGAGTAAATTTCTTTTCTTTTCTTTTGTTTAGACACGGTTTTACTATGCAGTTCAGGCTAGCCTTGAACTCACTTTGTTGGCCTCAAACTTGCAGTAGTGATCTTCCTGCTTCAGTCTCCTGAGTGCTGGGATTATAAGCATGTGCCAGCATGCCCAGCTCTTTTTACAAAAACAAAGGACAATCATTAGAAAAAGTTAACATTTAGTGAATCTAGACAGGATGTGCTGATATTCACTATGCTATATTTATTTTCAACCTATCTGAACTGTAAAATTAAAGTGGAGGCAAATACAAGGATAATTTTGACTTTAAAAGTCAGCATCACTGAGTATAGAGCAATGGGTCCTCTGTAACAGTGATGGCTAAAACATAAAACTGATAACTTTTCAGGAGGGTAATTTAGCAACAGATTTCAAAAGTCTTAAAAATCTATGATAGCTGGGCATAGTAGTGCATACTTGTAATCCCAGCACTTGAGAAGCTGAAGCAGGAGAATTATTGCACATTTGAGGACAGCTGGGCTACATAGTGAGACCCTGCCTCAAAAAGACCAAAAAAAAAAAAAAAACCTATGACAACCTTTGAATCAGTAATTCCACTGTTTATGTTTTATCCTAAAGAAATAATTAGACAAGTGGACAAAGATCTGTTATCACAATTTAACTCAAAATTACTTATAAATATTAAAAATTTAGAGCTTAGAGAGTAGCTCAGTGGCAAAACATTTGCCTACTGTATCTGACACCCTGCATTTGATTGCAGTTAGAGAAGGGTGTTGACAAAGAACCTAAATATCTAATCTTTAAGAATTAGTGATATATACACTAGAATCTATGTTTGTTAAGAACATCAGTGTAACTAGGTGTGATGGCTCATATAACCCCTATAACCCCAGCTACTTGGGAGGCTGAGGCAGGGGGACCACAAATTCATGGCCAGCCTGGACAACCCAGGGGTTATCCAGGGGACAACCCAGGGGTTATCCAGGGGACAACCCTAGACTCTATCAATATGCCCCCCTCACACACACACACAAAATCCCCCAATGTATATTTAATTTCTATTACACGGACTGTTTTCTTTTTCTTTTTCTTTCTTTCTTTTTTTTTTTTTTTTTGGTCTTTTTCGTTTTTTATCGGTACCAGGGATCGAACTCACGACTGCCTCCTTGCAAGGCAGGCACTTATGCCACTGAGCTAAATCCCCAGCCCCTTACATGGACTGTTTTCAATGCAATGTAAAACGACAAAGTAGCTTATAACAGTAGATATGTGAACTGACTTTCAGTGACTAAAAATTGAATTCAGTGTTTAAAAAAATAAAACTAAGGTTAAATCAATAATGCTTTAACCAAATCCTTATCTTCATAATTATAATAGTTTGTACATTTAGAAAACAGAAATGTACACATGTAAGATATTTGTCTACTCTGTGCACAATGCATTATGTTTATATGGATTCAAAATATATAATCTACAAATTAATGAATGTTTTCACATTCAAGAAATTGCCAAATACATTCTTTATAAAAATCAAAGCAGCTGGGCATGGTAGTACACGCCTATAATCCCCCAGCAGTTGAGAGGCTGAGGCAGAACGACTGCCATGAGTTTGAGGCCAACCTGCACTAATAGCAAGACACTGTCTTAAAAAAAAAAGCACAATAAAAAGAAACAAAAACGGGGCTGGGGATTTAGCTCAGCGGCATAAGCACCTGCCTTGCAAGCAGGTGGTCGTGAGTTCGATCCCTGGTACAGATAAAAAAGGAAAAAAGACAAAAAAAAAAAAAAACAAGAAACAAAAACAATAAACAAAAAACTTTGACAGGGAAAGCATAAACATACGTACCTGTCTGACATTCCTTGTGTTGTGTATGTGGTTTGCAAGAGATGGCCTTGGTCTGTGTGACAGGTTTACATAATATGCCTTTGTTTTTTAAAAATTTAGAAGGCTGAGAAGACACAAGTTTCATGGCATTTGACTGTGCATTTTCCTGGTTAAAAACAAATTCAAGAATCAGAGTTTTTAGTATGTTATCATTGACTGTAATTATTATATGAAAAATGATATATATCAAGAGAAATATAACTGAAAAAAGGCATACTTTGAAAAATACATACTTTAACCCCTAATCCTCCTAATTTCTAATCAGTATGAGTTCCATTTACTGATTTTTAAAAGTACTCATGAGGCTGAGGAGAAAGCTCAGTAGTAGAGCCATTGCCTAATAACTGGGAGGCCCTAGGTTTGATTCCCAGCACTGGAAGATAATAACAATAATAAAATAGCAACTTTATAGTGTAAGCCAAATAATGAAAACAATCCTTGCTGATTATCAATTAGTCACTAAGATCAATTGTATCCAATCTTCAACTATATGCAAAAATATATTCTTTATCAATTAAAGACCTCAACATGAAAAAAAGCAAAACTTAAAGTCACTGGAGAATTTTCGAATTCCTACAGCATAGAGAATAATAGAATAAAAACAAACTAAAAAGAGCAATACATTTGACTACCTGGAAACTTAAAGCTTTTGTAAACAGAGGTCTCTATAAACAACATTAAAGAACAAACAGTAGGAGCAGCAGAATGCATGTACATGTTCATTCATTCAGTAAATATTTATTAAATGTTCACGACAAACAAGACACTCTTCTAAGCCATAGAGAAACAGCAGAAAAAAACTAGAGTCCTGCTCTTATGGGCCTTACATTCCAGAGGGAGATATGGAAAACAAGTATGACAAACCCTTAATGTGTAATCTGAGGTAATGATACAAGCTGTAAAGAAAAATAAAGCCCAGTAAGGAAATGGAGAGTGAGAGTGTGGAAGAGGGATAATCTTGTAGTAAACATCTGAGCAGAAGTCTTCCAAATTATTCGAAAGAGTAAGCCATGCAAAGGCCAAGGTTAGACACCAGGCAGAGGGACTATGGGTCCAAAAATCCTGCGTCTGAAAAGGCTTGGCTGGCATGCATTAGGAACAAGACTAACAGTGGCATAGCTAGAGTTCTTGCACACTGCAACATATTTTCACAGTAATAAAATGGAGTTAACTGTCCAGTGTGGTGGCACATGCCTCTAATCCCAGCATTCAGGAGGCAGAGACAGGAAGATCGCTGCAAGTTCAAGGCCAACCTGGGATATAAAGTGAGTTCAAGGCCAGCCTGAACTGCATAGTGAAACCCTCTTTCAAAAAGACCAAAAAAAAATTTTTTTTTAAATTAAATAAAATGGAGTAAACTGTTACAATGTAATTTCCTTTTTGGTCAGTAATGCTGCCCAAAAAATGTGCTGCCTGGGGCAATCCACTCTCCCCCTTTCTCCACCGCCACTCACCACTGAGGCTAAAACAGGACTCAAGGGCAAAACGGTAAGATTGGAAAGTATGGCAGAAACCAAACTATATAAGATCAGAAGGTCCTTGGGTCGGGGATATAGTTCAGGGGCACAGCACCTGCCTGCAAGCACAAGGTCATGAGTTCAATCCCCAATACAAAAAATAAATTAATTAAATAAAACAAAACAACAGCAACAACACAATTAGGATTGAATTTTAAATGAGATGGGACACCCACTTTAGAAAAAATAATGGAGGGGTTGGAGATTTAGCTCAGCGGCATAAGTGCCTGCCTTGTGAGTTTAATCCCTGGTACCGATAAAAAGGAAAAACACACACACAGAAAAAAAAAAGAAGAAAATAGTAATGGACACATTCAGTATAAAACTTAAATGGTATAAAAGCATATATACATGAATGATTGCCGGCTATTCAAACTGAATACAACCACTGTTCCTAATTTCTTATATATCCTTCTAGGAATGGTTTATATAAGTAGCCAGGCATGGTGGCACACGCTATAATCCCAGCACTAGGGAGGCTGAGGCAGGAGGATCTTTGCAAGTTCAAGACCAGCCTGGGCTACACAGTGAGCTCAAGATCAGGCTGAACTGCAGAGTGAGACCCTGTCTCAAAAAAAAAGAAATGGTGTATGTAAGTAAACAATGATAACATATTAGAAGATTCAGCACCTTGTTCTTGTTATTTAGACATATTTATATAACTTTGTATAAAGCTGCTCTGTGACAGCATATATAGTATTTCACCACTGGATGTATCATATGTAATTTGAAGAGTCTTTGCTGATGAACAATGAAATGTTACAAATCCTGTGCAATTATAAACAATTCTACAATGACTATCCTTATACATCCTTACACAATGACTATCTTTACACATATCCTATGTGCTTGTACATTTACAGAATAAAGTTTAAGTGTTATTGATGGGTCATAGGTATATGATTTTAATTCTAGTGGTATTGCCAAATTGTTTTTGACTGAAATTTTATCAAACTGTGTGGCCATAAGCATTGTGTTTGTCTGTTTTCCAACAGGGCAGTAACATACTTTTGCTATTTCTCAGTAACCAAAAAATTATCTTAGTATAGTATGGTTAGGTACTTGTGCAAGCATTATGTTTTCTTTTCTATGAAGTATTACACCTTCTGCCCTATTTACCTTTATCTTTAAAAACTATGCATGTTTTTAATATTAATGAAACATAAAACTGAAAAGATTCAAACAATAAACAATGGAAAAATTATTTTCTCTTTTACTTTCTACTCCACCAAGTTCTCCTCAGAGGCAACCACTCTTACCTATTTACTGCTGGTCTTTCAGGGATTATTCTATACCTATGAACAAGCACACCCTTTATGGGGAGGTTTAAAGCACAAATGGGAATACAATGTACACTTATATATGTGTGTGTGCATATATATATATATATATATATATATATATATATGTATATATCTTACATTTTTCACTCTAGGTTTCAAACTATTCTAGGCCTGTACACACAAAACTATTTTTCTTTTAACCCCATATTATTCTACTGTATGGATATACCATAGTTAAACTACAGCTCCAAGGCCACTGTCATGTAAATAGGTGTGGCACTGGAAAGGGGTATATTTCAGATTCTGTGTAATTTGGACTATTTTTTCTAATTAACATAATAGCTTGAGTGAATTCACTATAGCTCTGATCACCGATAAAAAAAATTGTTTTCAAGTTTCTGCCACTACAAGTAATGCTAAAATTAATACTCTTATACATAATTAATTTCATAAATGTGTAAAATGTATCTGAGGGATAAATTCCTAAAAATGGGAATTTACCCATTCCTGGGTAAATGGTATTTACATTTTAAACTTTAACATGTTCTACTAAAATGCTCTGAAGCAGTTTTATACATTTACACTCCTAATGGCAATATGTAAGAATGCCTTAAAAGTGTTTTCATCATTTTTATCTATGCTAATATGATTAAATTGTACTTTTAATGGCATTTCTCCAATGTTAAAACTGTCTTTTCATATGTTTAAGAAATGCTTTTATGTCCAGGTATATAAACTGATGAATCATACTTCTGCCCAATTTTCTATTGGGTATTGAGTCTACTGATTCACAGATATGACATACTTTTTACTAGATTTACTGACATAAATTGAATATAGTCGAATTTTCCTACTGATTCTCTGAAATACAATTGAATTTCCCTATTGATTCTTTGAGATACAGTTGAATTTCCCAGTTGATTCTGTTATGGTCTCTGGGATTTATGACATATTTAGAAGTGCTTTGCCCACTTCTAGGTTTTACATGTATTTCCTAGTACTTTTATAACTTCTTTCATCTAACTATTTTCTCATTTCTTTGACCTTTATTGTGGTTTAACTATGAGGTAGAAATCCAACTGTATTTTCTTCTATATGTCTACTAGGTTACACATCTTAATTGAATAATCTGTATTTTTTTCTACTGATCAGAAATGACATCATTATCATTACTAAATTCCCATGGATATATCTGGGACTATTCTCAGTCTTTTCTGTTAAGTTGTCTGTATATTCATGCACCAATACTGGATGTCTTAACTATATGTGGAACTTTATAGCATCTATAGCTTTCTTACACCTTTAATATGTGGAAATTAGTTCTTTCCCCTTCTTTATTTTTGTTCAGAACTTCACTAAAAGTTTCCAGTGGAAGAGTAACAGGACTTGATTTATTGTTTCTTAAAAAGATCATTCTGGTAACAGAAGAATACTGTACATAGGACAAGAATGTATTCAGAAAAACTAGGTAGCAGATCATTAACAATCTAGAAGACAGACAATGGTGCTCACACCATGGAGGTAGCAGGGGCTTAAGAAACAGGGAACAATGAAGGGTAGTCTATGGGGAATACAAGGATTCTGTCTTAGACGTATTTGAGACTGCTATTACTCATCCAAGTGTAAATGTCAAGTAGGCAATTAGATACATGAATCTGGAACTCAAAGGTCAGGACAAGAGAAATAAATCTCAAATTGACCACCACCTAAATGATGCTTAAAAATCACCAGAGGACAGAGCAAGATGGCATAAAATTTTATAATGCTATTCAGAATAGCAAGCAATTTAAAACTTGTGAATTACTTATTTCTGGAATTTCACTTAATATTTTCAGACCATGGTTAACTGTGAGTAATGGAAACCAAAGAAACAAAAATCATGAATATATGGAGACTACTGATATAAGGAATCAAGAAGAAAAAGATAATTCAACACAAAAATGAGGGGAAATTAAAAACAGGAAATGCAAAGAAAAAATTCAAATTTAAAAAACCCACAGAAACATAAGCAAACCCACTAGTAATCATTAACACACAAAATAATGAAACAAGATACCACCAAACAGATCCGGAAAAAAAGCTTTAAATATGACAATATTAAATGATGGTGAAGCTACAGGAGATGAATACAATCATTAACTGTTTCTGGGGGTAAAACATGGGGGTAAAACTCTGTAGGACAATTTGAAACCTAAAAATCCAAGTATTTTTTTTTTGATTCAATGATTCTATTCTTTCATTTCTACACTAGAGAAATAGCAATGTAGGGCTACTAGGAGACATATACAAGGATTCAATGTGGTAGAGATTTTTAACAGTGAAAAAGTAGAAACAATCTAGTCCATCAATAGGCAATGAACAATTAAATATGATAGCTACAAATAATGCAATACTATTATCAGTCAATAAGACTGCACTAAATCTATTATCAACATGAATGGATATTTCATAAAAATGAATTTTTTTTAAAAAAAATATTAAATATTTTTCATGGATTATCTATATGAAAGGTTACAAAAAGTGGTCTGAAAAGACACACCAAACACAACAGTAAGTGAACAGGGGATTACAAGTAGTGAAGAGGAAAAGGAAAAGGAGGATAGGAAGAAAGGAGATAGAGAAGGGAAGAAGAAAGGAAGAAGATAGGTAAGGGAAAGCAAGGGAGGGGAAGAGAAAGGAAAGGGAAGGTGGTAAGGGAAAAGGAAGGGAAAGGGAAGGGGAAGAAAGGGAAGAGGAGGACTGGGCAAATAAGCCAAATATAACATTGGTTAATTCTGGGTGGTAAAAATACAGTACAGCAGGGGTTGGCCAGCTATTGACTGTGGGCCAAGTCAAACCCCTAATTGCTTTTTTTTTTTCTACTTGCTTTTAAAAATAAAGTTTTAATGGAACATAGCCATTCTCATTCATTTATGTACTGTCTGTGTTCACATCTGCACTATATTGTCAGAGGTAGCAAAGCCTAGTTGCAACAGAGACTGCCTGGTCTGTAAAATTCAAAAGACTATTTAGGTTTTTATAGGAAAAGTCTGCTGACTCTTTCAATAGTTTTCTTTTTACTTTTTTTATGTTTAATCATTTCCTAAAATGTAAGAGCATTTAAATAACTACAAGGAGATACACACTAACATTCCTGGAGGAAAAAAAAGATTCTAAAATTGTCAGGTTTTTTTTCGTATCATAAGAGCACTATATTGCTTATTATTATATATTTTATAGAGTAAACTAAAAGTAGTAATGAGAGCTACCTGGTAACACAGCTTAAATAACTGGTAAATTACAGAAATACTTCATATGAGAAAAATATACATAGCAGCAGTAACATTAAATATGAAGTATATGCCCCTCAAAAACTTGAATAATTAAAAGAAACTAGCATAATTAAAGACAAATTGTTCCATATACATGAAGTAGAAGAGGAATGTATTCACCAAATACATAACTACATACAAAATTCTAATAAGTACACATTAATATTTGTGGATACATTAATATCTTAATTGTACAGCTGTGTAGGTAACAGTATCATTATTAACAGTACAGGAGTAATTTATTAATCACATAATTTAATATACAATATAAATAAATAAATACAAGTTAATTTAATGATACTTCATTAACTAATGTTGTATATTGCCTGAAGACAATTATAGAAAACAATAATTAATTAGAAATTATTATCTTCCAACAACATTACAGAAAACCAGTCTGGTTCACTGTGAGACTTTTGTTAAAAGTGAGTTTAATATGGTTTGAGTTTTTTCTCTCATTTTTTTCCACTGAGGATTTCTTGACATGCAGACACATTTTCCACTTTTTTCCTTGTCACCAAAGAATAGCAACTCATATTTGGATCATCTTCAAAAACAGTAAAAGCTACTAAAATATGGTCAAAAACCTATGCCTGTGTCTTTACTGTTAAGCTAAAGGCCTAGGCTAACCACTATGCCTTCACCCTGCTACCTCTGTATTTCTAATTTTAGCCCAAGCAAATTTTCAACAATGCCTTTTACCAACTGTGTGCAAGTCTACTTTATCTACAAATACACTTTACATATAAATGTATCTTATACAGACTGCTTTTTTTTTTTTTTTTTTTTTTTTTTTTTTTGATACCGGAAACGGACCTCATGCTTGCCAGGCAGGTACTGTGCCACTGACCTATATCACTGGTCCAGACTACTTATTAACAGATGTTATAATGTCATTCAGATTAAAGCCTCTTTAAGATTTTGATAGCTTCAGAGATAGTAGAGACAGCCTGCCTGCTCATTTTTATACTACCAAAACCTCAATGTGCTTTAAACAGGAAAGGCAGCCATGACTTAACACATTTCAAATCATCAAAAATGCTTCATGCTTGTATTACCAAAAATTTTCCCCATTTATTCCAATATCCTTGTCTGGCTATAAACTATAGGGACTATAAACTTTGTAATCTATGGTAAGGACCTGCTTTAAGTGTTTTTGGTGTTTGGTACCACTTTTGGTGTTTTGAATACTCTAATACTGGGCAGGGTACATGTTCCTAAAGTAATAACATGAGGCATCATCACAGTGGTTTAGCCATCTTCATAGATTTTCATATAACGTCTGTCCAAAGTTACTAAATTTGAAGACATACATTTTAGCACCACGTAACAATCATTTGATTGATACTGTTATGTGACATAAGAAAAGATTTTTAATTACATAAAGAGTAAATGTTAACACATCATAGTAGTCACCAAAAATATTAACCTAAGACCTACTACAGCATCATGAGATTATATTCCTCCACTAAAGGGCAACAATGGCATAAATTTGTAATCTTTTCTGCCTTCAAGATTTGAAATAATACACTTCTTGAAAAACATAATTCCTTTCATTTTTAGGACATTCCACAATATTTCAAATTTGAAATATAACATTTTGTACTATTTTTAGTGTCACATAATTCAACATTACAAGGATACTAAATTTTCAGAAAATCTTTTAGTCTAAAAAGAAAATGCTGAATATAGGAAAAGAGGAAAAAAAAGCAATCAGATTGAATAAGCATTTAAAGAAATTAAGGAATCTAGGGGCTGGAGATTTAGCTCAGCGGCATAAACGCCTGCCTTGCAAGCAGGCAGTCGTGAGTTCGATCCCCGGTACCGATAAGGAAAGAGACAAAAAATAAAAAAGGAAAAAAAAAAAAAAAGAAATTAAGGAATCTGAACACAAAGGAACAGTAAAATAAATCCAGAATATATTCTCATTAATCATATAAGGTCAAACTGTAAGATTCAAAACAAGAAATTACTGTAAATACTATCCCATCTTTTATAAAAAGCTGCAAATACAAAAGTACCCAGATACATAAATGAAAGTGAACCCAACCAGGTTTATCTAGAAAAAAATGTTAACAGTAAAACTTACATTTCCAATGATTTTTGCTGCCTCTTTAGTAGCTGCACCTGTTATAAGTCAAAACATACATTATTATTCCCAGAATATGTATAAGAAGTTGATTTCCTCTAAAGTAGACTACATTCTAAACCAAAATTTCTCAAAAAATAGTCCAAAGAAATTTCACATTAATACCACCTCTGGTACCTAGGTAAAGGTAAGGATAACCGTGTTACAGATCAACCCAGTTATATTAGAATGTCTGGTATAAATAAGCAGGTATAGTAAAATCATCTGCATTCTTAAAAAAGTAAATCACACATATAACTTCCTTTCCCATCCACATCACTTTTCTTGCTTAACCATTCCCCCAGAGACAGAATTCTTTATATAATGTAAAAAAGATATTACCATTAAGAGTCACTTAAACTAGGCAATGCTCATCCCTACCTTCTAGCCAACTGCCTTTATATCAAGTCATACCTTTTAAAACAGTCTTAGTGTTTGCTGTAGGCTGGGCAGCAGGTATTTTTGCCAATGATACCACGTTGGTTATGACTGGGGTTGTATTTGTTCTTGTAGAAGGTAATGCAATCATTGCAGTTTGTGCCTTAGAAATATTTACTGATTAAAATCAACAAAAATGTAATTATAAACAAAAGGTTTACACAAAAAACACCGTTTAACAATTAAGTTTTCAAAAAGCAATATAAATAGTAACTCTGCACAATGTTGGTTTGGGAGATTCTAAACAAATTAGTGTTCACTAGGCTTTAAAAAGCTTGATTCTGTAAAATTAGAAGCTTCAAATGATACATAACAGGTAAAAATAAGGTATCAGCTTCAGAGTTAACCAGGCTGTCCAATAATGAATATTAAGACTCCTACCCTTACACTTGCTTCGAATAAAAATTTAACATGATAATTTTCATAAGTAAGTTGATGAAGGAACTGTCCATTCACATAACACTGATATTCTTAAACCACATGACAAAATGAGTATTCTACTGCAAACCAGAATAGTCCCAGGGGATAGATGGTAACACAGAAGTTCAGTACGAGGCATATACGACTAAGGTAATCATTAATAAGATTGCAAAGGCAGGCGAAGAGCCTGCAAACAGATGGATTCTGTCTATCAGGCAGCAAGCACTTTAGACCTTGATAAGAGAACATAACATCAACCATTTTTTATCTAATACTTCAGAAAGAGACAGGTAGAACTACTTTAAGACCACACCAAACATCTATCTATTCTGAATATTTTGACCACATTAACTGTCCTACTTGCAAAATTATTTTATGCTTAGCCAGGAAAAGCTTTATGACCCATTAAGAATTGGTCTATTTTTTCTCAGATAATTAATGTGTTGTTTTTTTATGGGGTTTTGTGTGTGTGTGTGTGTGTGTGTGTGTGTGTGTGTGTGTGTATGTGTGTGTGAAAAGCAAGCTACAGATCAAATCTTACACCAGTCACAGAACTATATTAGCATACTTATATCTTCTCCCTTTGTCCTGGTTTTCTATTTATATTCCTACTTTATTAGTTGAACAGTATGCAGTTTTTTCTAATAACTATATTATCTATATGCATAAATCAATCAACAGCAATCAAATCAAATTTTTTCTGTAAAAATTAATAAAAGGAGTATTTATTAAGGATTCTCAAAGGGAAATTTTAGGAAACTCGAACTCTTTGAGTCCAGTGAAATTTTATTACATTGTTTTCAACTGTGTGTGCTGATAGTATATCCTAGCACTAACATAAAGATGCCATTAGTCAAGTTTAACTTTACCTTTATTTTGTGAAAGATCATTCATATTTTGTTGATGACAAAACTTCAAGACACAAAACAGGTTACAGAAATGTTTGATATTTCCTCGCCATTTTATGGACTCACTCAGCTTACCCTGACGTTTACAACCATCACACTTGGCCATCTGAGATAGAAGTCATGACAAAAAAGGCTTAAAATTATAAAATAATGAATAGGTAACTTTAATCATAAGTGAGAAACACCATGAAAACAAGATACTGTATGATGAAGTAGTTAGGACTACAAAATGTAAGGTTCCTACCTTAAAATACTGTAATTAAAAATAAATGTTTATTTGTTGTATGTAGATCTATACCCTAAATTGAGAGAATTATTACAAAAGACGCTATTCTGTTTTTTAAATTACTGAGGAAGGAATCTAAAGACAGATTCTATTTCTAGAAGATTAGGAAGAAGCATATACAGCAGAAAGAATATGAGGCTTTGAAATCATAAATCATTTTGATTAACTGGACAAATAGATCTAATTATACATTATTTGCCTGAAGCCATGTGATTGGTCCTGCTCATCTAATTACAAGAAAGGTATTACCTTCCTCCTCAAGAACATACATTTTGAAGTTCGATTCCCAGTATGGAAAGAAATAAAGAAAATAAATAAATAATATTTTGGAGGTGACAAAGAGGCAAAAAGGCAGTGATCTGACTAATGTGCTGTAAGTGCTATCTAGTTTGTCACCTACCAGCTTCCTCAAGAGCACTTAACCTCTCTCTAGACTTCACTCCTTTTCCTTTTCATGTGCTGGCAATAACATACCTACCTCTTGGGAATGTAGTGAGGATTAAATGAAACAACAATTACAGAACACCAGATATGTATTACTGACAATTAATAATGAGTATCACTGTTGGCCTTTCAGAAAGGTAATTTTTTTTAAGAATTAAGTTGTTAAAAGTTGTCAGTGATTGTCCTTTAACCTATGAAATGAGAACAAGATGTGACATAAAATTTCTCAGCATAACCTGAATGAGAGAGCCACCTAAAGCCATATTATGTAAAATTCTAACCTAAAAGAATTCAAAGTTTCAAACAAGGTCAATGTGCTTTTTAAAAAGCGAAAATAAGGCACAGAAGAGCAAAACATTCCTAACGTATGAAAATGACTAATAAGAGATAGAAATGCTTATTACTCTGATTTGATAACACACACTGTATACATTTACTGAACTACTATAATGTACCTCATAAAGATGTACAAATTTAATAAATAAAAGACAAATAACCTCCATCAAAGGTCTCCAGAAATCATTAACTTCTTCTCTAAAGATTTTATCTTAATATTCAAATTTTGCAACAAAAGCCCATATTTTACTTTATGCAGTTCTAAACACTACATTTTTCTTCACATAATTTGAACATACAGAAAATAATTTGCACTAATTTCAGAAAACAAGCCAGTGTATCACATTTACCTGGTAAAAAAGAACTGTAAACTTGGACATGCACTCTTCACAACAAAACTCTTCTAATTTGCCCTCCAATCGGTTTTCTATCAAATTGGGGGATGTCTGTGAACAATAACTGCACATCTTACAGTAGTTTCCCCATCGTTCTCCAAAGTCTCGAGCAGAGAGAAATTTACAAACTGAGCACAAAAAGGGATGAAATGAAGAAACACTAAATTCACATTAACTTCAAGGAGATAAAATGATTTTCTATGGTCTTAGATATAAACTTTAAACAAATGTAGACATAAACTTTAATTTCTAGGTATATGATACAACTGCTTGCCTCTGGATTAAAGAATAGTTTGTATATCCACAGAACTAAACTCCTATCACCTTTTAAATATACTCTAAATATTAGACCATCTGTTTCACAAACATCACAGATATAGAAATTTCTTAAGCCAAGAAGAGAGCAGCAATGTTTAAGTCACCACTTTACAAAAATATACAAGAATAAAAGATCCCTGATGTTACAGCTAACTGTGCAAGATTTTTATATCAGGATCATTCTATTTCAATAATTTTCCTTTACACAGATTACCACAATATTTAAAAAGACAAACTTTAGGGCCACGATTGTCATCAGTCAATGGTAGGGTATTTGCCTAGCATGTGTTAAGACCTTGGCTCAACATCCGGCACTGAAAAAAATAAAAGGTTTAGGGGGGACTACTGGGGACTGAACTAGAACCTTCACACTGAGCTATATATAGCCCTTTTTACTTTTTTATTTTGGACAAAGTCTCACTAAGACATTCAGTCTTGGAATCCCCCATTTCAGCTTCCCTCCAAAATTACAGGTATGTATCACCATGGTCAGGAAAAAGACAGGTTTTAAATTGAAATGTAAACCCAGCACACATATGCTCAAATTAGACTTCATGAGAGAAAAACTATTTGAGCATTAGTCATGTATTATTTCCCCAAGTCATCATAAATTACTTTATAAAATTCTGTAATATGCTTTGTGGATAAAACTAAACTTTTTCTTTACCTTCACTACAGAATGGCTTATCAACCCCTGAGAATCGCACAGTCTCCTTTATAATTTTCTGCAGTTTACAGTAGTCACACATTGCCATAACTCTGTTTTTCTTTTTGTATTCATCAGAGCAAGTTTTGCAACAGAATAGAAACATTTTGCCCTGCAGAGAAACAACAGTCATTGAGATCTAGCTAAACAGCTGTTTATCTTTAAGACACTTTTATGATTCCTCAAAAAATGAAAAATAGAAATTCCATCTGACCCAGGTATTCCCAGATCTCTAAGTATCTTCCTGAAATGATTAAAGACACTATATTTCAGAGATACATGTATATCCACATTAGCTACACAATTCATGATAGCTGAAACTTGGAAGTGGCCTACATTTCGATCAATAGATTAACAGATAAAAGAAAATATGGTAGCAGACTGGGTATATGACTCAGCAGCAGAGACACCTGCCTGGCAAGCACAAGGTCCTGAGTTCAAATCCTAGTATCAAAAAAAAAGGTGGTATTTATACACAATGGAGTACTACTCTGCCAAAAAGAATAAAGAATCATTTGTAGGAAAATGGATGTACCTTGAGACCCTAATGTTATATGGAGTAAATCAGACTCAGGAGCTTAAATATCACATAGTTTGTCTAATAAGAAAAATCCAATATATTTAAAAAGTACAAAATTAAATGGGGAACTGAAATTTTTTTTCTTTTACATTTCAAAGCAAATTGAGTTAACTATTAAAGACAGACACAGAAGTGCATCTAATGGATGCAATCCTTTCACAACTGTGCTTTACCTTGTAGAAGAGCAGCTCTGGCTTTGTGGCAAACATTTGGTTACAGTGCTGACATTTGAGTTTTACAAGTGTATGGGCTAAAGCAACCTGCTGGGATTGTTCAGCAGGAGTCTGGAAGTCAGCTGGGGCAGCACCACTGACAGAACTGGAAAAAGAGGTGCCACCTCTTCCTGCTGACACTGCTGACCCGGAGGGCGTGCTCACAACCACTTGACCCTGAGATGGGGCTGCTGCTGAAGAGTTTGCTCCTTTCGGCTTGTTAAATACATTCTAAATGAATACAAAGCAAAGGTTTTATCAATTGAGAAATAATGTAACTTACTGATTTTTACTTCTTTTTAATAAATTAATTCTGCCTCAAACTTTTTTAACATCTTTTCACTGAATGAGTTTCAATAATATACTTCCAATGTAGAATTGGAATGTAGATGAATGGATAAGAAGATAGAGGACTGGAATCCAGGCTTTAAAGATCTCCAAGACACACCGCTAAAAAATTCAACATGCCTGTCTGTTCCCCCAAGGTACCCGCCTTCTGCAAGCCCAGCACTAACTCTTCATGGCATTACAACACAGTGGTCACCAGCAGTCTCTTCCATGGAATCACTAAATTCAATTTTTATGTGTGGACTGGGATGAGGAGAAAATGGGACAAGTGCATACTTTCAATTTCATGCCACAGGTCAATAGGAAGTGACACATGATCCCCAACAGCCTACTATTCATCACCTTGCAACCTACTCACCCACACCCCATTTGATAGGGAAGGAGCTAAGTGAGAAAGTGGAAGGGAAGAGCACCTTATGCAAGGACCTCAAGTAAGGAAGCCCAACATCTCGGGTGAATCATTTTGTAGAAATGACTTCTGGAATTCTCGTTGAATAGATTTTTTTTTTTTTAGTTTAAATTTAAAATTTTCTAAGTACGGACCTTCACCAGGTGAGTATTTCACCTAAGAGAACTACACAGAAAAAATACTACCTTCAATCATACCTGGAAAGCTACTACACAATTGGAGCTGCAGAAGCTGTATATAGTTCCATTTGACATAGCTAGGTGATACTGAGGGATTGCTGAGGTTTTACAACTATGACAGGAAACCTGGACACCTTGATGACAAAAAATTTTTAAAAAATGAATGTTACCCAAGTGCACAAATAATCCAAAATTCTAAAAGTAAAAAAACAACAACAAATACTCAGTATAGTCATCCTTTAATATCCTCAGGGCATTAGTTCTAGGACTCCCCAAGGACAACAAAATCTGTAGATCCTCCCTATCTATATAAAATGGCACAGTATTTACATATAATTTACATATATCTTCTCAAACATCTACTTGTATACTTTAAATCATCTCTAAACTACTTAAAATAACTAATAAAATGTAAACACTGTGTAAACAGTTACTGTATCTATTATTTAAGGAATAACAAGAAAACAGCTACATGTTCAGTACAGATGCAATTATTTTCCCTGAATATTTTTGATCTGCCTGGTTGAATCCATGAAAGTAGAACCCACAGATATGGAAGGCCAATTATAATAAACACACACACAAAATCAGCAAACTTTACAGTCAGCTTTAAATCTAACTACAACTTCAACCCTCACACAAAAACTAACCTACGACTTACAATTATTTTTTTCTTTTCATATGTGAAACTATAAAATACATCCCACAACTATTTGCACTAAAAAACCAGTTCTTTAAAAATAAACCAACCTTGAGTCTTTATTTAACCATACAGATAAATTTAGTTTGTAACAATAGGAGAGAAAAGCAGTTATGGTCTTAACAGTTACTGAATCTGTAAATTTGTCAAATTTAAATATTACCTGAAGAAGTGACAATTTTAACTCTGTAAGCAGATAAGCAATTAATAGAGCAGAAAAGCTCTGTTTTTCCTGAGTCATTTGTAGTCTCAATCATTTCAGCCGATGGCCTCAATGATTTCCCCAGGGCATACGGAGGTGTTTGGGCTGAATTCTATTAAGATAATAAAATAACAGTTAGATCCTAGGATGTAAGATTAAATACTGTTCTGAAAAGAAAAAGGACTATCATTGCCATTCATTGAAATATCTGAACATGACAACTAGGCCACACTAATATTAGATTGTTTTGCAAGTTGGAATGTGGGAAAATCAAGTTCTTTCAGACAATAATAAAATATAAACAGAAAATTAGATAAAATTAGGTATTTTAGTGACAACAAAACACTTTACAAGTAATAAATTGGATAGTCAGAACAGTTTTCTCACCACATATAAGCAAAAGGAACCAGATAGTCTAGAAGGCCATATTCAGTACATAACTTGACCTCGGTCTAGAAAAGTCTACCACCTCTAATGTTACTTATTAAGACTGTTTAGCAAGAGACAGAAATGATGTTTAATGCATACCAGGAGATTCTACAAAACTATTTTTTACGCTGTTTCATAGTAAAATTTGCCTGTTTATTCATGTTTTAATGATTGTGGCTATCATTTATTACTTTTTGAAAGTTTACCAGAAGCCAGATCCCATGCTAAACAATGTGTGCTTACTGTATCATAGAATTCTTTCAGTAACACAGTGAAGTACTTTTAGATCAAGTTTTATAAGTTTTTTTGTACCGAGAATCAAACTCGGGACATTCTGCTTGTCAGGCAGGCATTGTGTCACTGAGCTATGTCCCCAGCCCAGTAAAATACTTTTAAAAATTACATTAACAAAAAGTTTACATTTAACTCACAGACAAGGGCTGGGAGTATAGATCAGTGTTAAAAAGCTTGCCTAGTATGCACAAGGCCTTGGGTTCAATCTCCAGAACTAGGAAGGGGGGTTGTTCTACAAGATAAACAGAAGTGGGAAATTACACATCTCCCAGACTACAAAATTTAGGCTTCTAACCCCTACACTATCCTGTCACTGATAAACTAAATGGTCTCTCAGTAAGAGTAAATGGCAAGGAAATATAAATGTAAAATTGCATGTACCTTCCTAGTAAAAGAGGACCCTTGTTTATGCAGTTCCCATACAGTATAATACTGCTTTAAAACTTAAGAATGGAACTGATTTTTAAATAAGGTTTCTTTTTTTTACTGGTACCAGGGATTGAACTCACGACTGTGCACTTGCAAGGCAGGTACTTATGTCACTGAGCTAAATCCCCAGCCCACGAATGGAACCGATTTTTGAATTTACAAAATAGTAATTATTTTCCTGTGACAGCAGGAACCAGATTGCCAAAAGTGGCAATTGTTAGAAGAGTTAAGTTTTGACTAATGAATATAAACTACCAACTGATCTATTAACAAATCAAAAATTTGCTAACTTAAAATTTTTAATTTTTATTTACTTATTTTTTGTCTTTTTGAGACAGGGTCTCACTATGCAGTTCAGGCTGGCCTTGAACTCACTTTGTAGCCTAGACAGATCTCAAATTTTCAATGATTCTCCTGCCTCAGCCTCCTAAGTGTTGGGATACAATTAAGATACCTTTAAAAATCCAAATCACCTAGTAATAAACTCACATGATACATTTTCAACCAGATTAACTCATTATTTATTGCAGTAGACAAGGTTAAAGTATTTTAAAAGGATGATGTTGCCAAAATAATTACAACTCATTCCAACCCATATTTTAGAATGAAAAGATATGACTTGCTCAGTTTCTTTATAAGCAGTTTTCTTCACTGCCACTGTTCTACAAAATATTTCACACAAAAAATCCTGAAATTACAACTATAAAGTCTCAGTAATGAAGACAGCCTTAAAAACTGACCTAAAACGCCTATTATCATCTCATTCTACAGTCATTCTACAGTATCAAAATCTACCCTATTTTTCTGAAGAGGAATTCACACATGAGGTTGAAAGGATGGGAGGAGTCTTTTTTTTCTTGAGTTCACTCTTTTATTTTGCAGTTCATCTCTGTGCAGCCAGTTTAGGATTAAATTTAACTATGTTTGACAAATTGATGTTCATACCTGCTTATATGCTGTGACACTTGTTGAACTAAAAACCTTCTGGGATTGGCTAGGTCCAGAGCTACTATAGCAATAGCTCCCACAGTTCTCACAACAGTTCATGGTGAGGTTGTTGGTAGAATGAAATTTTGAAAAACAAGCATCACTACAAAGACCATGTACCACATTTTGATACTTAACTTCAAATCGAGTCTAGGAAATAGAAACACACATACACACAAAATAAGCAGAGCCAGTTAAAATGCCTCTGATCTTTGAACAGAATCTCAATGAAAGTAAAATGTAACTTACATCAGCATTTTTCTGACACATACTGCACTTAGTTGAAATACTATTGGTATATATGGTAACAACAGGTTTTTTCTTTAACTCATAAGAAGACAAACATGACTGACTGCAGAAATCTTTGTTAGCAGAATTTTCAAATTGAGTTGTGATCACATCCTTTGGATTTAAAATGTCTCTAAAATAAATAACAAAGTTAAAATGAAATATGCAACAACTGTAACTCCTTCCTCTTTGTAAGCTAAGGTAGTAGTTACTAGGGGGCAGTCATTGTATAGTGGGATAAAGCCCTGGATAAAGTATCCGAAAACCTGGTTTTAATAATAGTTCTGTTACTTCCAGCTGAGTGATGATGAGAAAGGCAATTACTGTCTCAATTCTCATGTATTAAAATGAGGTTTATAATTTCTAATTATTAGCTGTGTGAATGAAGAATTTAAAATATACCAGCCCAATGCTCATAGCCAAAAAAAAAATTTCATCTGTTGGAACCAGTGGGACAAGATTCAGTGGTCATCCCACAACTCAGACCCCACCACATGTGTCCTTTTACTACCCGACACTGCCAGTGTAAAAACTTAAAGGAAACAGTAAATAGATTTTTTAAATTAAAATATGGGGAAACATGATATACCAAAGACTAATATAAGAATTAGCATGGTATATAGAATATAGCCATAAATGAAATAAGAATACCACAAATAACTCAACAGTTCTGTAAGATCTGTAGAGCCATTTCGTAAGAGCTTTTTTTCCTTTTGGTACTGGGAATCAAATGCAGGACCTTGTGCTTGTAACAGCTGATTACTGCAATAAGCATTGATAGCAACACCCTGGTAAACAGAAGCTAAGTACTGCTATTCTTCAAACAAGTATAAAAACTGAAGGAAACAAGGGCAGGGGATATGACTCAGCAGTGTAGCACCTGCCTGACAAGTGCAAGATACTTAGTTTGATTCCCAATAATATAAAAAAAAATTGAAAGAAATAGACAAATACTAGCATAGGTGATAAAGTCAAGAACAATTGTGACAGTAATATTAAATGTTACAAGTGTACTGAGTAATTACTATATGTCAGGCATTGTTCTCTTTACTCAAATTACCCAATTTAAATACCACAATAATGCAGGAAGTATTATAATTTTCACTTTACAAATAAGGATATCAAATTATAGTGTGGGTAAACAATGATACCAGGCTATAAACTCAAGCACTTTGGAGTTAATCATTCCACTATCCTGTCTCTTATATTATCTTTATTATGCAAGCCTGTTCCATGATAAATATGAAATAACAAAATTTAATTTTCTAAAATTCACCTAGTCTTAAAAACATGACAATCTTTGAAATCAAATGGATATATGCTTTTATGCAGATGAAGGATTAATTTTGGACAAAAGTAGTATTTTTTTTTTTACTGAAACAGCAATAAATTTTATTTAGTAAGACGAATCTGCCACTTCTATATATATATAAGCAAGTAAGAATTAATTCATAAGGAAAATATGTACATACAAATACAAATATACTCTAAACCTTATGTATTTATATGAGTATTTTTTTCAAAGAGCACTATGCCTTTACATTTATTTTGGGAAAAAACACACCTCTTCCTATAATAACATGGGCTCAAAATAATTTTTTCTAATTTCTTTTTTCTCTTAACTTACAAAAATCCTTAAAAGAAAAATTTAATTTTACGGTTAAATCTCACCATTTAATATCAGTATTCCATTTCATCACCTAGTATGCTGACCTGATGAGGCATCAAGTAGCTTTGGCAATTTGTAGAACTTTGGCACATGTTGAAAAGACAGATTTATCACCTAATCGAGCCTAACCTAATTTAATGTTTTTATACGCTCTAAAGGCAAAGGCAAATTGAGAGGTCAAAACAGTTTTTGAAGGGAGTAAGGAGATAGCTCAGTGGGGAACACTCGCGTTGTGTGATGATGAGGAAGTTAAGTTTAATCCCCAGCACTGCATGTAGAGGAGCATGCACACACACATAAGCAACATCATGGTAAAAAGAAAAAAGCCACAACCAACATGTATTTGGATATGTAAGTAATGCTATGATCTTCAAATTTTAGTTCATTTAATTATATTCCTATAATACTGTAATCTCAATACTCAGGAAGGTTGAACCAGGAGGACTGCAAGTTTGAGTTCCACCTGGGCAATTGAACAAGCCCCTGTATCAAAATTTTAAAAACAAAGCCAGTGCAGTGGCACACACATGTAGTCCCAGCACTCGGGAGGCTTAGGCAGGAGTAGCACTAGCTCAAGGTCAGCCTGAACTACATTAGAGAGACCCTGTCTCCAAAAAAAATTTTTAAAACAATTTTTAAAAAGGTAGGGGTATGGCTCAATGATAGAGTACGCCTGACTTCAATCCTCCAGTACTGAAAAAAAATGTTTTAATACATTGTATTTTGATATGTGATATGATGAAAAAATATCTTAAAACCAGGAAACTAAATTTACTATTTAATATTAGTTTCATTAAAATGACAGTGTATTAAAGTAAGGTATTACAAAGGCATTTGAAAACTAACTGCAAATATTTAGATAAAATATTTAAAAAGTCCCTCTCTCCTTGTTAGTTGGACATTTTTATCTTAGCAGGATTTACTTTTAGATAATTTAGGCTATCTGGGTATGATGGTGTATACTGGGTATCCCAGCACTCAGGAGATTTATGAAGGAAAATTGTTTATAGAGCTTGAGTCCAGCCTGGAATACATAGTGAGTTTAGGGCCAGCCTGACCTACAAAGCAAGACTCTGTCTCAGAAACACAAAACAAGGGCTATGGATGTAGATCAGTGCCACAGTGCCTGCCTGGCAAATGCAAGGCCCTGAGTTCAATTCCCAGTACCAAAAAAGAAAATAGGGGGAAAAAAAAAAGATAAACTAACACATCAAGCAGATAAACTGTTACATATCTCCAAAGTTTAAAAAAAAAAAAAAAAGCCTATAGCCAGGCATAGTGGCACACACCTGTAATCCTAGCACTTAGGAGGCAGGGGCAGGACTGCCATGAGTTCAAGGCCAGCCTGGGCTACAGAGTGAGTTCAAGACCAACCTGAATTACACAGTGAAACTCTGTCTCAAAAAAACAACAACATAAACAAAGCCTAAGAATTAGCTTTTATTTGCAAATAAACAACTGAGGTTCAGAACAGTTCAAATATCTGGCCCAATCTTACTCAGCTTGTAAGTCACAGAGTCACAATTTAAAAATCAAGCAGTTTTTGGTTTTTCTTTTTGAGACAAGGTCTTGCTTTGTAGGTCAGGCTGGCCTCCAAGTCACAATCCTCCTGCCTCAGCTTCCCAAGTGCTGGGATTACAGGTGTGAACTACCATGCCATTCTCTCCCCTTTTTTGGGCAGTGCTGGGGATCCAACCTAAGGCCCCTCGCATGTTCAACAAGTACTTTACCACTGAGCTATATTCCTAGTAATAAAACCAAGCTCTTAACTTTTCTTACTCTATGTTAGTGATCACTGTGAATGCAAACTTTTTTTTTTTTGGGCGGGGGGGTACTGAGGATCAAACTCATGAACTAAATCCCCAGCCTCCAAATTTTTAAAAATTTCATCTGCTTTTTTTCATTCATTTTTCTACTCGTGGCAGCTGCTGGCTAGCAAGGAGATATCTATCTCATGGTATGGGATTCTGGGGTAGCCACTAAATCTAGTCCCATTGGCTCCAGTGGATAAAGCTTGGCTGCAGTTGAAACCTCACAGTATATCCCTAAAATTATAATACGACAAAAACAGGCAAAAACATGCCAAATTCCTCAAATACTAAGTGAGAAAAAAGCTTATGCAACTTTGCTGTTTCTTCATATTTCTAAGCATTATTGTAAAGCAACAATAACCTCATGAAAGTTCACAAGGAGATTACAAACAAACACTGATAGTCATAACTCCTTAGAATTTTTACCTTCTAAAGAATTAAATAACTTTTACATACTACAAAAGTGTTACTATTTTATTCTAAATTTCAGTAACTTTCAAGACAACTGTTAACTAATTTTAAATGGTTGCTGTTCACAATTATAATATATATGAGTGGTCCTGTAATTCCCACAAATGGTTTATTTTTTTCCATAGAAAATTTACACTAAGATAGACAACTGGGTTAGGCAATACTTCTAACACTAAGTCACTTATTTGATGTTGAAAAAGTAGACTAATTTGCAAATTCCCAAGTAAGTTGAAAAGCAACTTCCATAGAAATGTGCTAAATACATTTAAATTAGCACTAGCATCTCTCACTAAACTATACACACATTTGAAAAAGTAAAGTGAAAAGGGATGGCATTAAAATTTTGATACTTGGAACAGTTTGTGCAGGTTTTCTTGGAAGGAGGTGTAAGGAAGACAGGTAAAGGAAATCCAGTGATGCATTGTGTGGAACAGAAGAGCTGAGTAGATCCTGTCTTGTGATACGCAGTTTGCCCCTTATGAAGCATTTTTTTGCAACCAGAACAAAAAACTTTAAGAGCTACAGCTGGAACTGCAGGAAGCAATATATTTGGGGCTGATGATGGGACAGAAAGTTGAAAGCGAGGGGTCAGCTGTTGAGCTAGAAAAACAAAATATGAAGAAAAAGTTTTAGGATTAGAATTATGGCAAATATATTCTACAGTACAAAGTTTCTCAGTTTTCAAATCTAATGCTTTGAAATCCAACACTAATGAAATAATAAGTAATCCAAAACAAGGGGTTTCAAACTTTTTTTTTTTTTTTTAACCACGATCCCTGGTAAAGATTACATTTTAGGGGCTGGGGATTTAGCTCGGTGGCATAAGTGCCTGCCTTGCAAGCGTGCAGTCATGATTTCGATCCCTAGTACCAAAAAAAAAAAAAGAAAAAAAGAAAAAATTACATTTTAAATTATAACTTATTTCTCACGTACATATATTTGTGGAGGATTGTGTATAATTTACTGTCACAGGCCAGGAATTGTGGCATACACCTATAATCCCAGAAATCAGGAGGCTAAGGAGAAGGCCAGCCTTAAACTACATAGTGAACTCAAGGTCAGCATGAACTATAAAATAAGACCCTGTCTCAAAACAAAGCAAAACAAAATACAGAACCATAAACAAGTAATTAAAATGAAAATTTCATGAAACAATCCATTTTTTTACTATATGCATCACATTCTGATGTAATTTTATTTTATTTCATTTTTTAAATGCTAGTAAAGACCAGCTCCAATTGCCTAAAAACTATAGATGAGTAAGATAGAAGAAGTGTGGCCCTTAATTCTACTATACAATAAGCAATGTTAACTGTAACTAACTTTTACAGTTCTGTGTCTTACCTAGAGGACTTTCATTAACTGAAAATACAGCACTGATTTTCAGTTCACTTCCTTGAGTTTTCGGCTGTTGGGCACAAGCATACTCCTTATTTTAAAAGACCAAAAAAAGAGAGAGAAATAAATATACTTAAGTAAACTACAAATTCAACCAAATACTAATTCTATCATTGTTTACATGTTCTAATCATAATCACTTTCACAAAAGTCAAATTTTATTATGTATTGTACCAGATTTAATCTTTATAAAGGCAAACTTTCAGAACTGAAAAATGTTTTTAAAAGTTTTTTGGGGGTTTTTGTTGTTGTTGTTATTGTTGTTTGTTTTTGAGACAAGGTCTCCTTCTGCAGTTCAGCCTGGCCTTGAAATCACTTTGTAGCCAAACTGTGGCCTCGAACTCATAGTGATCCTGCGGCCTCAGCCTTCTGAGTGCTGGGAGTACAAGCATGCACCACCACACCTGGCCATTATGTTTATTTTTTAAATGTACTCAATGTATAATACATAGCTATTCAAATCTCTATAATACTCATTTTTTAGAATGTATTTACAAGAAAGTGATAAAGTGAAACATGCAAGATTTAGAATTTAGATCTAAATTAGTAATTGTAGTCAACAGACTTACTAGCTGTCATATCTATTAATCGCAGAAAAGATACAAAAATTTCAATGCAATCTGTTCATTATACTCAAATTCATCAGTCTAAATCAGATTAATCCTTAACATGACTTTAAAATGTTGTACAATAAATTTAATCTTTGAACACATTAAATGACTACCTATCTTGAAAAAGACTGCCCTTTATTCAGAGATCATAACTACTTATTTTTTCTTTTATTTTAGGAGTTAAAATAGCTTCCTTACATTTTAAAGTGAAGTTTAAAAAGACAATCTGACACCTTTGAAACAGTAATGGTATTTCATCCTTATCAAAATAAACTGTCTACATTTGAAATATCTTTAGACTACTGAATACTAAAATTGAGAACCACTGCATGAATTCATCATTCCTCATGATGTATACTATGCTACCAAAAGAGATGCTGCCTATAAGACTCACACATATGTATTTCTCTATAAGTGAGGAAAGATGTTTAGAAACTTTCCCAAGGGCACAAAGACATTAAGTACACAAACAGTAATCAAATCCAGGTATCTCAGTTCCAAAAACAATGATGTTTCTCTCATAAATGTACAAATACAATATCACTGCTACAATAAAATCAAAATCTGGCCTTCAAGTAAAATTAAGTTGCTTTGTTATAGTTTTATTTCCTTTCTCTAATAACATTTATCATAAAATTATTTCATACTTATTTGGATAATTAATGGCTAACACAAGCTTCATTTACTAGAAGGTACCATGTATGGAAACCACATCTGTTTCTTCACCTCCATATACCCAACACCCAGCACAGTAAACACAACCCAATAGAGAAGATAATGGATTCTGACAGAAGACAGAAACAGATATAATCTTGGCTTTTAAATGAGTTACTGAATCTTCCTTAGTTTTAAATTTCCTCATCTTTAAAATAAAGCTATTACCTAATTCATGGGCCAATACAGGGAAATAAGTGATTTAATAAAATATATAGGATAGGTACCTAAAAAATGCTAATTCTCACAGTTACTAATTTCATAATTATAGCATCTAATAAATATTTGTGGAATGAATTAATACAGGTCCATTCAACTGGCTGTTCCTAAACATATAAACAAATAGTTCCTAAACTATTTGGAACTATTAGGAACAACTGGTTGTTCCTAAACAAATAAATAGTGTTCTTAAACACTATTTACTAATTGGAACTTGCAAAGAGGTACAAATTCAACAAATTATATATACCTCTTTTTACTTATCAAAAAGAATGCTTAAGATTTTAAAGAAATTATTCTGTTTTATCATCAACTCAATCTCTTAATATTTGTACTCCACAAAGTAACTGCTCTAAGTCTTCTTACTTGCAAGTTCAAACCTCACATATTTCTTCCTCACAGATATTTCAATTTCACCAGGTTAAAAAAAAAAAGCAAGTGAGAACTCCCTCAACCTCTTGACTCTCCCTTCATCTTCAAACTCAGCCAACTGTTCTCTTATCTTACAGAAAAAGCAACATTCTTAAAGGGTCCTTACATTCTGAATTCATTTTCTCTCTCCCTTCTTGAGCATTCCATTCTACCCTTCATATTCCACCCTTCTCTGTCTATATAATGTTTTCTTCCTAATTTAAAAGTGAACCTGTTCCCTTAAGAACTACCCTCTCAGTCTGGTATGGCAGCACATGTCTGCAATCCCAGCACTCAGGAGGCTGAGACAGCAGGGCAACTTAAGAGTTTGAGGCCAGCTTGGACTACATAGTTAATTCAAGGATAGCCTGAATTACACAGCAAGACACTTTCTAAAAAAAAAAAGCAAAATAAACAAACAACAACAACAAAAAACCCTGTTCTATCTTCTTTCCTTTACAATCAAAATCTAAAAATACTTTTCTTTACTTCACCTGACAGTGCTAATGATTGTAAAGCCTTTGGTTTGGTTATTTCAATTCATTATGATTTTTATTTTTTGAAGCTTTGTTGTTGTTGTTGTTTAGTTTTGTTTCTGTCTTTTTGAGACACAGTTTCACTGTGCAGTTCAGGCTGCCCTTGAACTCTCTTTGTAGCCCGAATTGGCCTTGAATTCACAGCAATCCTCCTACCTCAGCCCCCTGAGTGCTGGGATTACAAGCATGTGCCACCATATCCAGCCTATGACATCTTACTATTTGCAATGTTTGTGAACTGAATATTTGTGTCCCCATGCCCCCAAATTCGTACTGAAATTCTCATCCCTACAGTAAAAATAGCTGAAGGTGTGGCCTTTGAGAAATAATTAAGGTAGAGCCCTAATGAACAGAATTAGTGCCCTTTTAAGGAAAGCCTGGAGAACTAACTGGCTCTTCACCTCTAAGTTCTCAAACAGAAGTAAATCTATTGCAATTTGTTATGACAGCACCAAATTACTTAGTGTTATAATTTAAATATGGTTTGTCTCCTCTGAAGCTCATTTTGAAATCTGATTCCCTAGGGGCTAGGGATTTAGCTCAGCGGCATAAGCACCTGCCTTGCAAGTGCAAAGTACTGAGTTTGATCCCTGGTACCGATAAAAAAAAAAAAGAAATCTGATTCCCAAAGTAAGAGTGTTGAGAGGTCACAAGACCCTTAAGAGATAAGTATTAACCACTTAACAGTTTACCTCAAACATCACTTGGGCAGGTGTCATTTTGACCAGTTGATTTTAATTAATTTATTTTTAACCAGTTGATTTATGTATTGAATAAATCCAATAAAATTGTCATTTTTATATTTCCTGTTATATTAACTTATAAAAATTAATGAAAAATATGCAATTTGGTTTTTGTTTTTTGTGTTTTATTGGTACTGGGGATTGAGCCTCGCACTTGCCAGGTAGGGGATTATGCCACTGAGATAAATCCCCAGCTCTTAATTTTTGGTCATTCTATATTTAAATAATTGAACTGATAAGTGGTTAAGAATGAATGGTGATTTCTTACAGGACTGAATCAGTTACCCAAGTTGTTACACAATGAAGCTACCATGTTTTGTTTCTTTCATGCCCATTTTCTTGCCTTTCCACTCTCCCACTACAACAAAATAACACTATGCACTCACTAGAAGCCAATCAGATACTAGTAACATGGTCTTGGATTTCTAGGCTCCAAATGTGAGCCAAAATAAACTTGGGAGCCAGCATTTGGGGACTGAACCCAAACCTCAGGCATGCTAAGCACTGTGATACTGAGTTGCATCCATAGGCCTTTTGTTTTTTGTTGTTGTTTTGAGACTGGGTCTCACTATGTAGTTTAGACTCGTCTTAAACTCACTATGTAGCCCAGGATGGCCTCAAATTCTAGGTGGTCCTTCTACCTTAGCCTCCCAAGTACTGGGATTACAGGTGTGTGCCGCCATGCCCAGCTTCCTGCCCCTTCTACTTCTTTTTCTGAGACAAGATCTCACTACATTGTTCAAGATGGCCTAAAACTCGACTTGTTAGTCTCCTAAATAGCCGAAATTACAGAAATAAGCCACTATGCTCAGCTAAAATAAACTACTTTATAATGTCAAGAATTCTGTAGCAATAGAAAGTGGACTAGCACAAATAGTATTCTTCATTGTGTGACTGTTGATAAGTCAATATCTGTGTGTCAGATCCTCATTTGCAAAGTGGAAATAAAACAGTATTTAAGTCTAGGTGAGAAGGGGCTGGGGATTTAGCTCAGCGGCATAAGCGCCTGCCTTGCAAGCAGGCAGTCGTGAGTTCGATCCCTGGTACCGATAAAAAAAAAAAAAAAAAACCGAAAAAGACAAAAAAAAAAAAAAAAAGTCTAGGTGAGAGCAGCATGTGGATTAATATATGCAAACTGCTTTCACCATGTTCAAAGGGGCCGAGGCACCTCAGGGGCATGGTACCTGCCTGGCAAGCACGAGGTCCTCATTTTGATTTCTGGTCCCCCCCCCAAAAAAAAACAAAAACAAAAACATGTTCACGTATTATGGATTATAATAAGCAGAAATAAAAACTCCCTGAAAAACTGGAGAGCTTAACTCTAACTTTACTATCCAAAACAAACTCTTAATATATCAGATAATATTAAACATTTTAGATGTTTCTATTTTCCAGTGTTCTAGTAAGATTGATATTGCATGGAAAATCACATACACAACTTGTTCAGTTGGCCTTCTGATCAGTTCACATCCTTGATCATGAGAAAATACAGCCTAATCATATAGAAGCATTAGAAAGAACCAAGAAGAATTTAAAAGGTCCTTATACATTTAAGTTTTCATTTGAAGATGTTAGGCCAAGTTCCATTATCACACTTTTATATTCACAAAAAACAACATATAGCACAGTACTTGTTAAGTTTAGACATAACATGTAAGGTAAAATGAAAGAAATACTAGACAGTGGGGGGGGGGGACGACTTAGTTTGTATCCCAAGTTGAAACTTTTCCCCTTTCACACAGTTTCTCTCTGTGTAACAGAAGCTCTTCTATTTTAATTACTGAACATGTACTTGGCACCAGTCATTGTGCTAGGAATTGGAGATCAGTTCAAGGCCAGTCTCTGGCTTCAAAGAATGCAGTCCAGAGTATGAATGTAAGGGAAGGAGTTGAAGGATAACAGGATAATAGGATTAGCATGATCAGCATAAAAATAAAATTCACTGAGCAGTAGATGCCATAATAAAAGTGACGTGTACTATACAACAGAAGAAAAGAATAATTCTGTATTTGAGTGACAGACAGTTAAACTTGACCTTAAAAGAGTAGACAATTTTATCAGGCTATCTAGATTATTCCTTTTTTTTTTTTTGGTACCAGGAATCAAACTCAGAACCTTGTACTTGCCAGGCAGGCACTTATGCTGCTGATCTATATCCCCAATGATTATTTCTTCTTCTGCAAGTACAAAAGCAAGGACATAAAGCTGAACAAAATATATCTTTGAAGCCAGGAGTGGAGGTGCATGCCTCTAATCTCAGCACTCAGAAGGCTGAGGCAGGAGGATTGCCACAAGTTCAGGGCCAGCTGGGGCCACATACTGAGTTCAAAACCAGTCTAAACTACATAATGAGACCCTGTCTCAAAAAACAAAATCAGTTCTGGTGATACAGCTCAGCAGCACAGTGCCTGGCTGGCAAACCCAAGGTCAAGTTTGATTACAACTACAAAAAGAACAAAAACAAAATGAATCTTTTAGTGACCTGAAAATAGTAGTTCACAGAAGCACAGATTAGAAAAGGTAGGAAGAAGGATGAGTGATGACACTGAAGGCTAAACAAAGGCTAAATCTGAATGTCACACTATGATTTATTATGAAAAGACAGGGTCTTAAAAGAGCAACAGAGGGGGGCTGGGGATTTAGCTCAGCGGCATAAGTGCCTGCCTTGCAAGCAGGCAGTTGTGAGTTCGATCCCCAGTACCGATAAAAAAGGAAAAAGACAAAAAAAAAAAAAAAGAGCAACAGAGGAAAGGATTTAGCTCAGCAGCTCAAAGTACTTGCCTGGTAAACATGAGGTTGTGAGTTCAATCCCCAGTACCAAAGAAAAAATAAAAGAGCAATATCATCAAATCTATAAAGAATACAAACATCACTTTTCAGAGTTTTGGTCAAGTATGTGACTGAAAGAAGAATTAGTAGGAAATATATGAAATTCCAGATAAGAAATTATGAAACAGGGAAGAAAAATAAGGGACAGATTCAAAACCTATTTAAAAGGTGGAATCCACAAAACTTGGCAAATGGGTACTTCTGGCAGAAAGAGAGAAACAATTTAAAATAAGTGTCATGTGTGCCATGATGCTTTACCTCCACATTCTGCAGACACTGCTTCTAAGGCCATGAATGAGACAAAACCTATCTGGAATCTCTGTTCTGGAATGATACTGGCTGTGAAATGGTGTGAGATATTAAATACTATTTTATTTGTCATTTTAAAATAGTATGGTTTGGATTATGCAATAAAGTCAATAAATATCAAATATAAAGCAAAAGAACTGTCCAACTGAAAAAGTTTGTGTCAAAGTAACAAATTGATTCTCCACATTAATTTTGGAGTTTCTAATCTGGGTCCTGATGGGTAGTCAGAAAGCTCTTTTATAAATACAAATCTGTTTCATATCACTATTCCACTTACAAAAACCAAAACAAAACCTACAAGATCCTGAAAAATTTAGCCTCAAACTATATACAAAGGTATTTCATAGAACACCATAGGACACCATAGGATCTGAAGTCTGAACATCGGGATTGAATAGTCCTTGCCATTTATAAACTGTGACCTGTGGCAAACTACCTACGTCTTTTTTGCTTTGGTTTCCTTTTTTGTAAAAGGGAGATAAGATGGTTACAAGAGTGATACACTCTAAACCTACATAAAGATTATTAAGTTAATAATGTCATTATGACATAGTATATATTGTATATTGATAGTAATACTATCTATTATTACTGTTCATCATCAGCACAATTTTTGTATCTTTGATACAAGCCCACTGGTTTTACAATTTTTTCAAAGAACAATGCATCTTTCCAACTCAACTTGCCTATTTGTAGGTTTTAGAATACACTCCCCCATGTCCTTTACCTAGAATGTTCATTCTTCATAATTCAACTTAAGATCCTTCCCTCAGGGAGATCTTTAAATCCCTCCAAACTACATCTGATTTCCTGTTTGGGGCTTTTTTTCCAAAGCACTGTCATGACATATAAAACTGGATTCATTACTTGTATAATGTGTCTTCTTTATTAATCAGTAAGCTCTATGATAGAGGGGACTTAGCTTACTGTCCTCTCCTGGACCCCAGAGCCTGAACAATAAACACTTACATGAAGGAAGCTACCATTATATATAGAGAATTTTTTTAAATGCCAAATATGAAAAAATGGTATTATATATTACTTTATACATTATCATGTAGTTAGCAAAATTTTGTTCATTCAAAGCACAGAAGGACTGATCTACCCATTATCTTAGTCCAGTGACAGAGAACTTTTTAGAGCTTTCAATGATAGCAAACTGATTTGGCATGTGTACTACAGATTTTCTCCCACTGTCTCAGTTCATTTTGTTTTGCTGCAACACAGCCTGGCAGACTCAATAATTTACAAGGTAAAGAATTTCTTTTCCTGACAGTTCTGGAGAATATGATGTCCAAGATATTAGGGCTGCATCTGGTCAAGGCCTTATTACTGCAACATAATGTGGCATAAGGTGAAACAGCAAGAGCACCCAAGAAAGAGAGAGCAGGAGGGGGCTGAGCCAACTTTTGTAATAAGCCACTCTTAAGTAACCCACTCCTGAGATAATTGCATTAATCCATTCAAAAGGGCAGTACTCTCATGATCTAACCACTTCTTACTAGGTCTCAATCCCCAGTAATGCTACATTGGGAATTAAGTTTCCAAACAAGAACTGTAGAGGATACATTCAAACCACACCAACCATCTAATAGTGAAAAAAATCACTTGGGTTGTTTAAACTTATAAACCAAAAAGCGCCTAGCTAAAATTTTCAATTCAACAGATAAAACTGTTTAAATTTAAAAATCAAGAGGAAATGCTTACCGCAGCATCGTCAGGTTCTTCTTTAATTTTGTCCAGAAGCTCTTGCTGTGGTGTCATTGCTTTATTACGTCCACCATCCAAAGGTTCCTTCATTCTTTCTTATGCAGAGGCGTTCTTCAGTTTAAAACAAACTTCTTGGCAATGGATAGATTGACCCCTAAAACACAACATAAAGACCTGGTATTTATGGTTTTTTTTTTTTTTTCTTTGTGTTTATCTGTATCAAAACGTTTAGGGTGCAGTAAGGAAAAGCAATTCTGGGAGCACGCGTAACTGTATTCTTTTTGTCTGCTCCTTTAGTAGCTACCGTCACATAAGTCTTCTCTCTTATTGTATCTTTAAAGGCAAGTACGGGGATATTTGATATGGTCAAAGTAGCCACGAGAGGAAGTTATGAACCTGTCAGAGAGACCAACTTAAGAAATATTCCATACAGTAAATATTATGACTTGAAGGTCCCATCAGCTTTTACATCTCAAAATAGGGCATATCAACTTTCGCACCCTCACCATAACTAAACCTTCAGTGGAACCCTTCAAAGACCCATTTCTTGGGTTAACTCTATACTTAAAAGAGCTTAAAAAAAAAAAAAAAAAAGCGCTCAAGATCCCATCCCAGGACTGAGGGTATAGCTCAGCAGCATTCCAGATTTAAAAAAAAAAAAAAAAAAAAAAAAATTCCCACCACAAGTAAATAGGTATATTTTTTCTTAAGATGGGCCATTTGAACCTTTCACTCGCTCCCTCCGAACCTCATTGCCAAAACACCTTCCCCTAAACAAAGACCTATTCAGGAAAAAAATTCTTATTACCCCCAAATACATTACTTTAAGTTGTAAGCGTAAATAGTCAAATTACAAAGAAAAAAAAAAAGCTCTCTAAAACTGTCATTATCCAAACAGCCATGGACAGGAATCAGATGTTTCAAAAGCCTGTTCCAAAGAGGTAAGAACTTTTGACCCCTTGCCACCCTGTGGTAACCAACCGGTGTTCGACCCCCCAGGGTATCACACGCGTTTCCAATCCCAGTTTCCACCAACAATTCCCACCCCTGTGCGTCAACACGGGCTCGGAGGGCAAGCCTGAGCCCCACGAGTGCCGCTCATCGCGCCCGGAGGGGACGGGGTTCGGCAGCCGCCACAGGGAAGCCCGCCCCGCGCCGCCTCATCACGTGGCGCGGCCAGCCCCGCCCCGCCCCCGCCCCCCTTGCTGGTTCTCCAGCGGCGGCCAAGGCGCACCCCCCTTTTGTCGCCTCCCAGCTCCTAGAGGAGCCACGAGCGGAATTCAGATAGGACCCAGAGCCCCCACGCCAGGAGGAAAAGTACCTTCTCCCTCAGGAATTTTTACCTGACCCATCGGGAAGCAACTCCGGCCAACACCGCCTGTGTAGCCCCAGGCTCCGCCTTTCCTTCCCGTCATGCCCCTGAGCTGAGCTGAGTGGATTTTTCTCAGCCCTGGTCTCCGCCCTTTTTTCCCATCATGCCGCAGAATTGAGCTGAGTGGACCTTCCCAGCCTGATCTCCACCCACTTTTCCCAAAATGCACCAGACCACAATTGAGTGGGTCTTCCCGGCAGGCCTCTCTCCTCAGTTATGGTTAACTTCTTAAAGAGACCGAGGCTTGATTTTGGAAAAAAAAAATGGGAGATTGGGGGGATTTGGGGGGTGTTACAAGGCTCTGAAAGTGCCTGGCTCTATTCTTTAATGCCCATGTTGATAAAGGTGGTCTGTAATAATAACATAACATAATAATAACTAACATAACATAATAGTAACTAATACCTGACATTCATTAAGCCAATTGCTTGCTAAGCACTTGTGGTCTAACATCCCACTGAATCCTGACAATATAAATGATGATATAGATTAGCTTGACGAAGTCAAAATTTGGAGGTGGGTGTGGTGGCACATGCTTGTAATCCCAGCACTTGAGAATCTGAGGAGGAGGACCACCAAGAGTTCAAGGCCAGGCTGCACTACATAAGTGAGTTCAAGGCCAGCCTGCACTACATAGTAAGAATGTGTCTCAAAAATTAATTAATTAAGTGCTATTTCAGTTATACTCTCACCAACTACGTATGAGAGTTTTAATCACTCAGCATCTTTGCCAGTGATTACTACTAAACATCTTTTTTAATTTTGACCTTTTGAGTATATAGTGACACCTCACCGTGGCTTTAATTTGTCATGTCCTAGGTTACCAATGAGGTTGGCACATTTTTCATGTTTTGGGAAATCTGAATATGCTCTCCATATTTGAACTAACTGTTCAAATCTCTTATTCACGTTTTGGATTTTTTCCCCCTAATCATCCTTCTTATTTTATTAGTCCATGTTGATATTACATAGTGTGGGGTTTGTTTGGAGAAGTGGAGCTTGCATCAAACATATCTTAAACAATTTCAATTCCATTTATTCCTCCTTTTTATTCCCCACCCCATCCCCATCCTTGGTTATCTTCCTGGTCTCCAGTCGTCTACCTCCTAGTTTCCCATGACTTCATTTTATTTATTTATTTATTTATTTATTTATTTATTTATTTAGGTTTCTATATAAAAAGAAAATGTGATATTTAACTTTTTGAATCTGGCTAATTTCACTTAACATAATGATTTGTAATTTTTAGTTCCATCCTTTTTTCAGCAAATGATATGCTTTTATTCTTCTTTATGGTTGAGTAATATCCCATTCATTAAATATACCACTTTTTTATCCATTCATCTGTTAATCAGCATTTAGGCTATTTCTATAGCTTAGCTATTGTGAATTGTGCTATAAACATGGATATGTGTGTATGTGTCAAATACTTTTTAGTTTGAGGTAGTGCCATTTTCTTTCTGATACCAAAACTGAACTTGCACTTGTGCTGCTGAGCTATTTACCTGGCCCCTAATGCCATTTTTTGATTCTTGATATGATTTTCTCTACTTTTGGAGTTCTATTTAGGAAGCTTTGGCTCGTGCCTATGACTTTTAAGTGTTTCCCAATGTTGTTTTCCAATATCCCTGGTTTTATATCTAGATCTTTAGTCTATTTGATTTGATTTTAGTACAGGATGAGAGAGAAAAATCTAGTTTCAATTTTCTGCATGTTCATATCCAGTTTTTTCAGCACCATTTGTTAAAGAGACTTTTTTCTCCAGCATATGTTTTTGGCCCCTTTGTCAAAAATCAAAAGGCTATAAAGGCTTGGGTTTGTTTCTGTGCCTTCTATTCTATTGGTTTACATTCTTGTTTTCATGGTAGTACCATGTTGATTTTGTTACTATAAGTTTATAGTATATGATGTGATATGATAAAAAATACAATTGATGTTTAAATTTAAACATTCTATTACAGTAAAAGACATATTGTCATTAATCTCTCTCAAAATATTCCCCTTTGCTTTGAACACATTATTGCTATTTTCTGAAGTATTTCTAGAGGTCTTTTTTCATGTCTTTAGTTGTGCTGTCATGCCTACCTCAATGTCCTAGATCAACTGAAAACATTTACCTTTCATGATCATTTTGACTCTGGAGAAAAGCCAGAAGTCACATGGTGCCAGATTCAGTGAATGAAGTGGGTGAGGCCACACCACAAGCTTGTCAAAAGCCTGTCTTTCCATTGGATGGAAATTGGCAGCAGCATTCACCATACCTTTTTTTATTAGCACCTCATAAAGACACAAAAGAGGACCTCTAGCAAAATGAAGGGATAAGTATGTTCAAAGATGGAGTATTCTGAGAAGGATTGATGGAAATGTATCTTTTACTCTAGTAAATTTCTTAACTTAAGTGTTTACCATATGTTTCAACCACCCCTTGTATAACTTGAAGTCTGGTATAGTGATACTTTCAGAGCTGTTCTTTTGCTCAGGGTTGCAGGCTCTTCTGGACATTTTCTGATTCCATATGAAATTCAGGATTGTTTTGGCTAGTACTATACAGAATGCTGTTGGTATTTTAATGAGGATTGCTTTGAATCTGTAAATTGTTTTTGATAACATGGCCATTTTCACAGTATTAGTTCTTCTTATCTATGAACCAGGAATGTCTTTCCATTTCCTAGTGTTATCTATAATTTACCTATTTAATATTCTATAATTGTCATTATCTTTTACCTCTTTAGTTTGATTCCTATAAATTTTTAGAAGTTATTGTGAATGGAATTACTTTCCTGATTTCTTTCCCAGTGATTCATTATTGGTGTACAGGATTGCTCTTAAATTTTGTATGTTGGCTTTGTATCCAATGTGACCTTATTTGGAAAAAGGATTGTTGTAGACATAATTAGTTAAGGGAAAGTGTACCTGGTGTGAGCATTATCCACCCTAAGGGTATGTAGACTGGATATACGGGACATAAAGAGGGCCGCTGTGCTTCCTTGCTACTTACTGTTTTGCTGCTTTGCTGCCTTCTACCCACCATGAACTGTTTTTCCTCTGCAGTGTCTCTGTGCTATGCCACCCTGCGTGGAGCCACTCAGCTATGAACTGAAACCTCTTTGATCTGTGAACTAAATAAATCTTCCCTCTTTTAACTTTGGATATAGGGTATTTTATTTCAGTGATGAAAAAAGTAATCAAGGCAGCCTCCTTCCATCACAGCCCCCCTACAAACCCCACTTCACTTACACCCAATCCTAATCTCAAAGGCACTTCAGAGGACCAATCCTATCCTGAATGGATAGATTGCTCCCTGACTCGCACACCCCAGCTATACCCAACTGGTTTCCTGATAGCAGTGTCTCTAAAATACCCCTTTATCAGGCCCCTTATGCTGCAGTAGAGGACTGTCGTGACAATGAATGTGCCTTTTCCTTCAGGGAATCAGAGCTACCCCTCTTACAAACAGCATCAGCTCAAAACAGACTGAACTCATTGAATTAACCAGGGCATTAATTTTACCAAAGTATAAGGCTATTAACACATATACTGATTCTAAATATGCCTACAACATTCTACATTCCATTGCACACATCTGGCAGGGAAGAGGATTTCTAATAGCCAAGGAACAACCATCATAAATGGGAAACCAATTCATGCCCTATTGCAAGCAACCCTTCTCCCAGCCAAAGTAGCAATCATATATTACAGAGGCCATCAGAAGTATTATGGTTTGTGTTTAGATGTCCCTCCAATGCCTCATATGGTCATAGGTAGGGCTTTTTCAGAGGTGA